AACAGTTTAAAAATTCAATTCAAGCGGATTTTCCTGCAAGTGATTTAAGTTTATGTAAGTTTTCATAATGATAAATAACAAGCAATTAATTTACACCAAAGAATTCTTTAAGGAGTTTCCTATGTTTTTAAACAAATTTATAAAGTAATTTCCATAACTCTCATGATGAGTATTGAATGAGATGGGGGCACAAACTCGACAGCATGCAAAAACTTATTTATGGTTTTAATTGAGGATTAAATTACAATTTACCACTGCATTTCCATTTGATTGTAACATTTTCCATGCAGCTCACTCACTTTGGCTTTGATTTCCGTTTAATTTTCATAATTGCACTCGTAATAACTTGTAAACATGCTCTCAATTAAATTGCAAACAAAAATCTGTTAAAATTAAATTAAAAGCCTGAAATAATGGGAATGCAAAATAAATTGAAAATCTCGTATTGATGCCTTGTTTTTATGTAAGAAATTCCGATTTTCTTTTTAGAATTACAAATCAATAAGCTACAAATGCATCTCAAGTACCTGATTATGGCTTGTTTTTCCATCCTCTCGAATTAATAATGTTTCGAGTTTCTTTCTGCTTTTCTTTTATTGAAATGAAGCGAGTTTGGGATAAGTCCTTTTCCTGTTTTCCTATTTTCCTTTTTCCTAGCCAAGCTTTATTCCAACCATTTTTCGTGATTCTGTTGGCTTTGTCGGAACATTATTAATTTGCCAATCCGTGCATACGTTTTAGCCACCTTTTAGAGGCGATACTTGCAGTCAGTTTTTCTTCATTTTCTTTCATTTTTTTTTTTTTTTTTTGGGAAATCACGCAACGTGGAAAATGTTAATAAATGAGCGAATAGGGGGGAGGGGGCTTGTTGCCAAAGCTGTCGACAGCGCAGTTTGCACCTGGCGGTGCTACGACCTCTGCCGCCTTTGTTACCTGTGCCACATGCTACACGCAATCTAATTTAGCTAGCGAAATACGTGCTAAGCGTGGAAATGGCTAAATGGAAAAATGGCGAAATGGAAAAGTGGGAAGGTGGGAAAGCGGGAAAATGGGGCCAAGCCACGCCCGTCGTTCGAGTGGCCCGAAGGGGTTATTTCACGCAGTGGTTATAATTCGCCTAATGTACTAAGCTCTCTAATCCGATAAAGGGAGCTTTAAAGGAGCTCCTCCCGTTAATACTATACGCCGGGAATACTCGTCGTGTCACAGTTCGACTCCGAATTTCCATGCCAAGGGGTGCAGCTCAAAGCAATTATTTCGAGGACCGGGCTCCGAGCTCCTCACCGGGATTTATGCTCGTTATTCCGTCAGTCAGAGGCTATATGGATATGGCCAAGCCTTCTTTGCAATGGCCCTCTGTGCATCTTCAAGCTGCATTCTCCGCCTGAATTATTCATGCCTTTTGTCGCTCGTTGTTGTCCTGCCTTGCGAGATGCGAAACCCGGCTCGAGGGTTGCTGCATCCTTGAGGGTTGGCCCGGGCAACAGGCAGTGTTGCCACCCAACCGCCCACATCCACCCACCCTTTTTACACAAAACGAAGAACGTCTTTGGCTTTGTGCATTTGCCAGTTTGGAGTGCACTGGGAGAAAGTCTGGGTAGCTTTTTGTTGGCTATTTATTTATGACATTTTTATTCTTAATTAAGGTTTTCTTAAAGTTTTTCCTCTAATGTGAATTGAAAAATATTTGCAATTTAAAAAAATACACAATAATGTGTAATTGTTTCGTAAATTTTTGTGGCTTATGGTTGGAAATAAAATTAATAAATTATTGAAAAACTCTTTATAAACTGGTGCTTAGGTAAGTACTATGGCTGAGAGAGAACTTGGCAGTTAGAGAAAAACTTCAGCGGGTCATCCCAAACCTAAAACGATAAATAAGTTCCCTTTTTTCATTAAATAAATAATATTTTTAAAACTAAAAAACGCCTACAGATAACAGCTTTTTCGAGGTAAGCCATATATATCTTATTTAGTTATTTTTCGCTGTGTGAAATCCGTAATCCTGCTGTCAGGAAAGGCCATTGTAGCTGTTGCTCGCTGGCAAATCCGAAAGCAATTTCTGCAGCATTAATCATCCCCCATCCCCAACCCCCCTGAAACCCCTTGAACCCCTAAGAGCAACTGACTCGCTTATCTGCCGTCCGGCCATTTCGGGTTAATGTTGACAAAACGCATTTTAAGCACTTCAGCTCTCGCCTCGTCGTATTTTCTTTTGTTTAGCCGACACTCTGGCCCCTCACATGTGCGTCTGTTTGGCTCTGATTTGAGTTTTCTGCTGGCTAAATTTGCATTGGAAATGTGTGCAGGACGGACGGACCATCCTCTCCTAACCCAACCTAACGTATCCTGGCCAAACAGGCTGGAAACCTTTTCCCAGTCCGATTGCAAGTGGCCAGCAGGAGATGGAGGAGGAGCAGCTTTTGTCCAGTGGTCACTCCGCAGGCATTGTTTACTCGGACCCCCCGCCCACGTTTTCCACTGAGCCCAAGGCATATAGCTTCTGTTTTCGCTGCGTGTGTGCCTAACCTTTTGAAAGGGTCTTTTATGGCCCAGAACGAGGACATATAATCGAAATCCGGGGGGAGTGGCTTGGGAAATTGGAATAGGGCAACATTGACTAGATTTCAAAAATTAAGAAAGTCAAAAGACTCACAAAATGTCCGTATAAATCCTTGGCCAACAGGCTTTTCCAATTAAAATTGATCTAATTTGTTACAACAATAGCCCAGAAGATAAAAGAAAAACAAGAGGAAACGCTATAGTCGAGTGCCGCGACTATAAGATACCCGTTACTGTTTTACACAATTTTAAAATATTAATTTTGCTAGTGGAAATTCACAAGGCGCCACCTATTGTCAGAGGAAGTATGTTGAGTATGCTTATAGTGACGTCACTTCCCATGTGAGGCCTTATAACCTTAATTTTTTCATAAATAGCGCAATAATGTTCCGATTTGAAAAACCTTTGGTAAATCGATAGATATTAACAGAAATAAGTTATACAAGGTCAAACAAAGGCATTCATAATAATATTATAGACGCCACAGTTTTCCGCGGTTTGTAGGCGTTAGAGTGGGCCTGGCCTAATGCAACTTCGTGGCAAGTTGCAGAGGCATCTACTAAATATGTGTTTCTAAGCAAAATTGTGTAGCTCTTATAGTTTTTGAGATTTTTGCATTTTTGGTTTTTCGGATTTTGTGGGCGTTAGAGTGGGCGTGGCTTGATCGGAAAAAAACAATTCGCATTGGGAGCATCATAGAAACCTACATGCTTAATCCGAACTTTCTATTACGAATAGTTACCGAGATATCAGCTTTTCTAGAAAATCCGAAAACCGTCTTTTGAGCCTTGTGGGCGTATGGGTGGGTGAGGCCGGATAGTAGTACTACTATAAGATGCGCTGTCATCTAAAGATTATACTTTCTGAATTTCAACTTTCTAACTGCAATAGTTCCTATGATTTCAGTAATTTTAGTTTTTTGCGATTTGTGGGCGTTAGAGTGGGCGTGGCAGGATGCTGTAATAAACTTGCGCTGTCCCGGGACCTCAAGAATCTTCATGCTTAATCTCAACTTTGTATCTGCTATAGTTCCTGAGATCTCAGCGTTCATACGGACGGACGGACGGACGGACGGACGGACGGACGGACGGACGGACGGACGGACGGACGGACGGACGGACGGACAGACGGACATGGCTCAATCGACTTCGCTATTGATCCTGATCAAGAATATATATACTTTATAGGGTCGCAAAAGCTTCCTTCTATCTGTTACATACTTTTCAACGAATCTAGTATACCCTTTTACTCTACGAGTAACGGGTATAATAAGAATTAAGTTGGAAGTCAAACATTTTTTGCCATGAGAAAGTAGTTACCAAAAGAGAAATTTAAGTTTAGGATTTCCAGCTGAACTTATCTTTGATTTAAATAAAATACGAAGATGGGCAATTTTGGAAATGACAATTCCCAGCAACCAAATCAAATTGCTCTCCAAAATTCAGCCACTAATTGCGCAAATTATTTGGAGTAATTTCCTAATTTGTATTCTCTGCTGACCGAGATAGTTGGCAGCCATTCATTTCAGTCAACAGCAACCGAACCCGGCCAATTAATATTCATTTGGGCCAAAACTCACCCGCTCAACACTTTCCAGCTGGGAGGAAAATCCTTTATTTAGCGAGCAACTTTCCGCGCTTGTTTTTCTTTTACGTTTTTTTTTTTTTTCGTTTGGGAGCTTTAGTTTTGGATTTTCGGACGCGCGGGTTTTTGTTATTCCCCAGTTAGCTGTTGACGTTGTTTCTCCAGCTGCAAATGCACGACAAATTAACACAGAAAGAGACAGCCAGGGAGCGCCAGAAAGAGACGGGTGGAACAAAGAGCCAACAAAAACTGAAAACGAAATGCCGCATCCTTCTAACACGAGAAAAAAAAAACCATAAAAGGGGGGAAAAGCCACGCCCGCGGCTTGGCCGCAAAAAATATTGAAAAAGTGGGAAAATGCGGAAAACTAAAACTCTGTCACTTGCTGCTCTGTGAGATTTGTTTTAACAACAAAAAAGGTGGTCTTGGGGAAAAAGAGTTTATTCAAGCAGCATGGACCTGAACCACACGGTGCGAAAATAAGTCTAAATTAACCTATGTTATATATATATTTTACAATTCTTAATGGTATTTTTTGTTTAGCAGAAAATACTTAAAATGTTATTATTTTTCCTTCCTGCTGTCATATATCAGTTAACACTTTCACAAATAAAATATTAATTTTTGAAAAGTCCTTATAAACTTACAAAGACTTTAAGATCTTGAATGAGGGAAGTTCTAGTTAGTTAGGATGTACTAATAATATAATATATAATAAAAACCACTTAAAGTTGTAAATTAATCTACAATAAGAGGCTACTGAAAACATTAGTTGAATATTAAACTCAGCCTCGAATACTTAAGATCTCATTTTGTCCAATCTTAAGTTTCAGTGCATCTACCCTCTTCCTCACCTTTTCCCGTTATTTGAAGCTCAACGCTTAAAGGGCCATGTTTTTATTGAATTTTTCCTCTTGTTTTCTTTTTCTATTTTCGTGAGATTTTCGCACCACAAAAAACACTGAGCCGACACACTTGTGTTAAATATTTTTTCTTTCTTGGGCTATTTGCGTTTAGTATTTTATGGGCATTTTGCTAGCAACCCCCGTCCGCACTCCACTCGAGAACACTACGCTACACGGCACTAAAGCACTACACTACACTATGCTACGATGGACCGTTAGACGAGCTGGCGTTTCACCGTTATTCGCTCCGCACTCGCGAGCTTCTTTCGTTGAACTGGCGAAAAACAGAAGCAAAAAAAATAAAACACATACAACGCACACGCACACATCAAGATGAAAATTCACAAACGAACTTTGCTAGTTTATACAGCAAGGTGAGCTGAGCTTTAATGGCTGCTCTCGCTCTCTTGTTTCTTTGTCTCTCTTTCTGGCTTTCCTCTCTGTCCCTCTCTCTCTTACCACTTTTGGCAAAACAAAACCGGCGCAACAAAAACGCAACGCCAACGCAACAGCGCCGCCGGCCGTAAGCTTTCAACCCAAAAATGGCAAAAACAAAGGGGAGAGCAAGTCGGTCGGCGGCCATGGCCAACCCCCTTGGGCGTTCTCTCTCTCTCTCTCATGCTCTGTCTTTTCCTCTCTCGCAGTCTTTTGCGCATGTCCCAAAGCTGAGCTTCAAAGCTCTGGGGATGGGGTATTTCGAGGGTGGATCTTCGGGGGTTGGGTGGCTATTTCTGAACTCAACTACAGGGGTCGCTCGGAAATGGGTTTGCAACGCAGAATCCGCAGATCAACAAATTAATGGAAAAAACTGTTGTTTATAGGTATTATGGAACTTATAGGCAAACATAATATGTGGGTACAAAGACATCAGGGGTTCTTATTGTAGTGTAATGACATGTAATTGTAAAGTACATTTTTAGCATACACATGTTATTCCCATGGCTATAATTTTGCCTATGATTAAATATTTTTTTTAATTTTTTTAAGTTTATTATTGCTTAAGCCGATTGATCAGTTGTAAGAAAATTAGTTAGTGTAAAGCTTTAAGATTCAAAAAGTTTAAAAAGGCTAAGAAGCCAATCAAAAATAATTGAATTATTTAAAGATTGGGGTTAATTCGTATAGAAATTATGTTGGCGTTGTTTTTATCTTAAAAACTATATTAATTTATATTATATATATTAATTTAGCAACATGTCTGACAACAAAAAGTTTAAATATTACGTTGAAAGCAAGAAAGGTAACCAATCACTATAACATTACTTAAACTTACATTTTAATTTAAAATGTGTAGTTTAATAAGTTAAATTTCACTTAATGGCTATCTCGAAAATATCGCTTTTTCTTTCAAATCTAGAATTTTATTTTACAATTTTCCAATGTTCTGCCCTTTGTGAATTCACCGTAATAGAATGTTTTTGGGGTGGGCGGTGGCATCGAGTGGGTTGTTTTCATGAGCTGTCGCATTGCTGCTGTTCTACTTGTTGTCGTTGTTGTTGCTTCTGCCGAATGTGCACTTTGTTGAATGTGCAATGGGTTTCCTTTCCCCATGCCGCTGTTATTGTTGCCACAACTGCTACGACGGCTGCTGCTGTTGCTACTGCAAATTGCCTTGCAGCATTTAAGGCGAATTATGAAAGTCCGTATGTGGGTGCGTTTGCCACCCTCCGCCACCAAAAAAAAACCCCTTTCCACCCGTTGGCAACAGCCAGAACTTAGGGAAAACGCGCTCGAGGGAACTGGAAAACGCCTGCATTTTAATTAATATTGATTGTGAGTTATTTTCTGTGGGGGCAGCAGGTGTGGTTTTAATTTAGTTTTCAAAATGTGTTTCTGCGTGGGCCGCAAACAAGCACATAACCCACTTACCAGTGTGCAGATAAATGTTTGCCCATTACAGGGTACACAAAGTCAGCATTCCCGCCCCTGCTCAACGGTATCATGCAAATTGAAGGGGGGTTTTCGAAATGGGGATGCCGAAATTTGCATTTCAATTCTGCAGTCGCCGGCATTCCTCCTCCTCCCACCACTCTGTTTACCTTGCTCGAACAGCTACGCTTTATTTTTTCAGCTCTGCTCTGCTTTAAGTGTGATTCAGTGTTGCGCTCGACAGCGCGGCAAAATGTGCACGTGCTGCACCAGCCGCAAGGCATTTCCCCGTGGTGAAAATGGGAAAGTGGCAAAGTGGGAAGGCTGTCTTGTCCGAGCTGCGAAAAAAACCGAAAAGGAATTGGACTCGAATTCGATTTCAACGATTATTGATAGGAAATGGAGTGCTCACATATTTTGGCGATTCAAACAAAAAAGATGACAGCCGTTACTTTAAAAAATATCTTTTATATTCATTAATGTTTTTTTCTAGATTTAAGTCATTTTTTAATAAATGTTAAGAAATTTTGGATACCAAACATTCGATGTGATTTAAGTAGTAGTTGAAGTAAATGTCCGAAGATAAATTTTAATATTAATGTTGAAAAGATATATAATTTTGTGCTTTTGATTGAGCCGCAGATTTTAAAAATAATGTATTTTAGCTGCTTAAATAGTATTAAAATAAGCCAACTTTATAAAGGCTAATTTTAATTTTCTTTATTTACAGTTATCCTTGTTATACATAGTATAATTTTAATTTTTTAAACAAATTAATTAACATTAAAAAGTCTGTGATTTAAATTTCGCTTATAATACAACTGTTCCCATAAGATCTGTTCCCTGGACAACCGTTCCTCAAATATTTTTGGCGCGTTTTTACAGTCAGCTGAGAGTTCGATAACTCTTTCCCGTATATCCGAAATCACTTGCTATCGATAGTTCTTCGCGAACATAGGCAAAATGTCGGTTGACCAATAACTAGCTATCGCACTCATCTGCCATCCCCAACGGCACGCACTACAATTTTTTCGTATTTGGTTAAATTTTATTACCAACTGAAGACCAGAAAAACGAGGAGCAATGGTCAAACGGCGGACGCAATCCCTGATCGACTCCAATTCCAGCGACAGCGACAGCGAATCGGATACCAATCTGGAATCGGTGAGTGAGAAAATAGATCGAATCCGACGTCCGCGCCCCTTTCTCCATATTGCGATGTAACGAAAATCAATGCGGAAAAGTCTCTAAATATATATTATATATAATTCTTAGGATCTTATGTCTCTGGCCAAGAAGCGTAAGAAGCCCCAAACGGCAAACAAATCCAGTTCTCGCTCAGATTCTGATTCCGACTGGGCAAACAATAAAGCCGGAGCCCCTGCCTCAAAGAAGAAGAAGCGGCAGAAGGCCAGCCGAGACTCCAGCTCATCGGAGTCAAATTGGGATGATGACAGCCACGATGAGGAGCAACCGACGAGGCAGAGTCCAGCACAGGCTCAGCAGGAGCAAAAACCACCGGAGCAGGCCACTCAGCCAGCGCAACTCAGTGAACAGGAGGAGGGCGAGGTTTCTGACAGTGATTCCGACAAGTCCAAGTCCAACTCCTCCTCTTCTGGATCCGATTCCTCTAGCTCGTCGTCGTCTAGCTCCGATTCGGAGTTCGATGACGGTTTTGATGACGACCTTATGGGCGATGATGAGGATAGAAGACGTCTTAACGGCCTATCCGAAAAGGAGCGAGAAACAGAGATCTACAAGCGAATTGAGCAGCGAGAAATCATGCGAACGCGATGGGAAATTGAGCGGAAACTAAAGTTGGCCAGGAGAGGAGAGAAGAACCAGGAAAAGTCCAAAAACAAAGGAGAACGGGCCAAAAAGAAGAAAGAAAAGCGTGAGAAGAAAGCGAAGAAGGCCAGGGAATCCCAGCCGCCTGTACCACAACAGACATCCACATCCATAATATCTGATCCTGAACCCAAGCCTATCAGTGAAGTTCGGTCAGCGAGTCCCTTGTCCTCGCCAGCCCTTAACCGAGATGCAGCTTCTACTTCGGCAGCAGTGGCCAGTATCTTGCCCGACGATCAGGCAGCCGCCGCTGGCGTCTCTGATTACTTTGATCACAAAGAGCGTTCCAAGGAACGCAAGAAGAACGTCGAAGCTAACAAGACGGACGACAAGAGGAGCAATGCCATGGCCTTGTTAAAAGCCAAGCGAGAGGGCAAAGCCAAAAGAGGTAAGCTAATTTATTTGATAGTGTGTATCCTAGGGCTTCAACATTTCGACTTATCCATAATGATAATATTGCAGAGGAAGAGGAAGCCAAGCGTTTAGCTGAACGAGATCGCGATGACGACAAGGAGGAATTGGAGAGCGTTTCTGGCTGCAAATCAGCTGTGAAACTAAAAGCATCTGAGATCTACTCAGATGATTCGGGCAGCAGCGATTGGGATGAGGATGAGAAGCCCACGGGGAAGCGCTCTCGCTCCAACAGCAGCAAGGCCTCTAGTGAATCCGAAGACGACGAAAAGGTTCCCCAGCGACCGGTTTTCATAACCACACGCGAGGATCTGAACAAGCTGCGCCTTTCGCGCTACAAAATGGAACGTTTTGTAAACTTGCCAATCTTTGAGAGCACCGTACTCAATTGCTTTGTCCGGATCAGCATCGGAAACAATGGCCAGAAACCAGTATACCGGGTGGCCGAAATCGTGGGAGTGGTGGAGACGGGGAAGATCTACAGCTTGGGCACCACGCGTACCAATCGCGGACTAAGACTTAAACATGGAACACATGAGCGGGTGTTCCGGCTGGAGTTTATATCTAACCAGGAGTTCACAGAGAATGAGTTCAACAAGTGGACCGAGGTGTGCCAGCAATCACACGTTCAGATGCCCACAATCGACCTTATCGCTATCAAGCAAGGTGACATAAAGAAGGCGCTGAACTACGAGTTTAAGGACGAGGACGTGGACAAGATTGTAGAGGAGAAGAACCGCTTCCGCAACCGACCCACCAACTATGCGATGAAAAAGACATGTCTAATGAAGGAGCGCGATGCAGCCATGTTGCGGGGCGACTACGATATTGCCCAGGACCTGGGCCAGCAGATCGACGAGCTTGAGAATCGAGCCTCAGAGCTGGACAAGAGGAGATCACATACCCTAAATCTGATCTCCTACATAAACGATCGTAACAGGAAGAAGAACGTGGAGGATGCAGAGAAGGCGATCTTAGAGGAAGCTCGGGCCAATAAGGGTCTTAAGATCTCGGATCCCTTTACGCGCCGAATCACTCAGCCACGCATGGGCTTCAAGGGTGCCAAGAAGGACGACGATGACATGCAGCTGGCACCACTGCCTCCGCCGCCTCCGGGCAAGAAAAGGCCAAACGAAGCGGGTACTTCGAGTGGAGGATCTAAGTCCACGGACTCCAAGGATTACAGTCTGTACTCGCTGCATGACTTTGACATCGACTTAGATGTACCCCTACCAGGTATGCTTTTTTAACCAGTTCTATACGGCATGTTGCTTATAACTTTATATATTCTTTTGCTTTCCAGTTAGTACGAATTCAGTGCCCAAACCGGCCAACAAACCAGCTGAAACAGTCTCCAAGCGTTCGCTGAATCTGGAGGATTACAAGAAGAAGCGCGGTCTCATCTAGAAAATGAAATTGCAGGTCTACATATATTGACAAAGCCTCACATGTTTACGTCCTAGTTTAGTGTAGTGCCCAAATGACTACAGCAAAAACTTGCTAATGCTGCAACGACTCACCCAACAAAGGGAGCAAGAAGAAATCGACCGACAGATCCGCTCGGCTAATAGTTACAGTTCATAAATGTGTTTAGCTTGACAGAGGAAGCTTAAAAAAAGTCGTGAGTAGCGAAGGGTTCTCCATTTTATCACAAATTATTATCCCACTCAAGGATAACTTACCGTTTTTGTGTTTCTTATCAGTTTTATGATTCAGTTTTTAATTAGCGAAACTTAACAAGCAACAGATATTTTGATCATTTACAATTTAAATACAAATGAGGGACTCATTAAGTAATATGTACAGATGGATATAGTTCCATTGTAGTTTCTATAGTTTATAAGTTGAAAATTGTATTACACAGCCCAGCCCAATTATACCCGACGAAAGATGTTCAATAAATTAACAACTAATATAATTTATACACAATTAGTTTACAGCAAAAACTCAATTGTTTACTCAGGCAAATGGCGAATGCTTAGGAGATTCCAGCGATAAATATTAAATAGGCTGATTAAATGAAAAATATAAAGAAACACATCCAAACGAGCGTGTATCCCATTGGTTGTAACCGTTCAATGCTGTATTAGCTTTAGGCGAAATTCATCAATTGTAGCAGCAGCATTCATATACTTAATTATAAACATATAAATAATAATTATTTATAATAAAGAAAACATCTATTAAATTCATGTCAGAGGTTGTCTTTAATGGTTTGCTTGGGAAGGTAAGGTAAACTTTTAATGCTTTTGGGATACAAAGTAGTTCCAAACTAGTTGGAAGTTCAAGGGACATATTGGCTTTATGAGTTAACTTTTGAAGTATCTTTTAATTCATTAATATTCTTGATTATAACTTTATGAAGTGATCTTTAAAATACTTTATTTACTTGCCAATTTTTCAACTTGAACCTAAATTAAAAAGTAAACTCAAGGGACGCCATGCTCGAGAGAATCGTTCTCTTGAATAAGGCTAGGTCCGTGGCAGTTGGTTCTTTTTAATTGGTTTGCTGGCTGTTTACGCAGCTGGGTGACTCCTTTCATGTTCTCACCAAATTAATTCAATTAATTCGATGAAATTGTCTTTTAATTGAACATGATCGCGTTTCGCGATGTTTCGTCAGAGAGAAAACATTTCCAAAAGTTCTACAAAGACATATATGTCGATCATTGTAACGGTCAGTATCTGAAAGTTGCATCTGCACAGTTATATAGAAATTCATATCTTATTCTGCTGCAATGGAAATACATGGGATGCTTATTTGGAATAAACTTGAATTGATTGTTCTATAATGCACTTCCGCTGGAATACTCGTATTTTCAAAGTTGGCTCCTTCTTTCAGATTCATTTTGGGAATCGCGCAGCTCCGAATCATATTGTTTCCAAATGGTGAATGTGACTGATCCGATCACAATGATGACGATGAATGGATGGGGGAGCCATTGTGGCACAATGACATTTTATCTCGGAATATGCAACAGCAGCACGTTCTCTGAAGCGGAGAGTGTAATAGATCAGCGGCGGAATCTCGATTCCGAATCCGAAAACTACCGATGCGTGGCCCATGCAAATGTTCTTGCAACGGCATCGGTGTGGGTGCATCCCACAGATACTCACAATGCTGCACTGAGAAAAAATGTAGATCTCAATCGGTTTTATATTAGCAGGTCAACTGACTTTTAAGTTAATCAGTAACTGAAGAAATGAATCTACTTTTTGACTTCTCTGTAGGGGTAAAAGGTTTTCCCTTAGTAACAGAAGACCAACTTTAAGGGCTGCGGTATATTTACAAGTACACGGGTTCAAACTTACCTCCATAATTTAATTTTAAATTAATATCTATACACTTTTCTCTCTGTGTGCCCATGTGGGAGAATATCCCCTTGGCGGCGACTAATCAACCGGCATCGGCATGCCTTATACACAAGTGCTGGGTGCTGTCCGGCAACGGTTTCTTCATTGTCGCCCCTGTCTCGGGCATCTTGCATTGTCCGCCCCTCAGAGCTCCACTGAACGTACACCCTCGTATGTGTGTATGCCATATGTGCGGCTTAGGAGACGCTGGCAGCGGCTTCGCTGGGCAGCTCAAGCGATCAGTTCAAAGTTGACTTCGACGCGGACCAGAGCGGACCGTTCTAATTCGGACACGCGACCGTGAATTATAGAATTACCAAATCACAGTTTAATTTAATTTAAAACTAAGGCTAATAAAAAAAAGTGAAAACAAAATGCAACATCCTAAGTGCTCAATTTTAAAGTGTTTTTTGGTGGGCTTCATCCTTGGCCAAACTAAGGCCGAGTTGGATTTTAACAACGATCTTGAGAATAGCCAAAAGTTCAAGAGCATTCCCACCACAGTGAAGACCTATGAGAACGACACAGTCCTGCTGCCTTGCACCTTGAATAGTAAGTGATTAAGTTAGTCCATCAAACCTTTGAAATCTCAGTGCATCTGGTGATTAGCCCCGCTTTTTGGGCCTTGAAACGGCCACCATCAGCAAATTGGCCATAACAATGAGATTTAATTCGATTGAAGAAATGAACTCACAATGGGACAAATGGAGGTATTATCCGACAATAATAGAGCTCTGGGCAGAGAGTCCCGCAACGGATTCTATTAATTGAACGCTTAACACACTTAGCTGGGTCATTGAAGTCGCTCTGGCAGAACCCTCCCGAGACATATTCTTTACTGACCAATTAAAGGATTATTGACAGAACCAATTAAGTTTCGAAAGGGTTTACAAGATTACAGAGAAGTTGTGTAACTTTAACTGTGTCTATGGGAAACCCAATACGGAAATGCTGTCACCACCATGTAATGGGCTTGACTTACACACAAAACTTGAGGGGAAGGGAAAGTGGAAATCATTAGATTGTTGTTAAATTATGTTATTTATTAATGTCTTATGAGCTATTTCTGTCTGAATAGTGACCCCTAAGAGTAATACATATTATTAAACTTATTATTTTCCGAATGTAATAACATTTACGAGAAGTCTAAAACTTTTTGTTTGTTCCTTAATTTTAGTTCCTGTTTTTGCTTTATAATAAACTCGACATCTTAAAATTAATCGTAAAATTAATGTTTATACAAATAAGTGAGTCGATCTAATTTCCCGACATTCGACTAAGGACAAGGTTAAGTAGGATAAGGAAACGAGTAAAGTTTAAGACTAAATTCTTGTGTTAGAAATCTTAGCTGAACTGCCTTTCCAAACATAAATTTGGGAACGAGATTGGGATATTGATTATATACATAATTTGAGAGTGAGATCAGCAAGCATCAGCATTCAGCAAGCGCCACTTAGAGATTGCAAGAATGGTTTATGTTCCTGGAGAGCGGGTTCGCCTGCACCAGATGTAGATAGCTTACATTGGTTCAGTGCGAAATCACTCACTCTGCATATTCTAATATCCATATCATATCATATCATATCATACATAATATTATAATATTCTAGAAATACATTTCCTAACTACTCCATATACACATACTTCCAGCCCCCTTTCGCTATGTTCGCTGGCACCGCGATGATGTGGCTCTGGTGGATTCCAGACACCCGGAGATCCCCAAGCCAGATCGAATAATGCTCTGGCCCAATGGTAGCTTGCAGGTGGCCAACGTGCAGTCCAGTGACACGGGTGACTACTACTGCGAAATGAACTCGGATTCGGGTCATGTGGTCCAACAGCACGCCATAGAAGTGCAAGTGGCTCCTCAGGTGTTGATTGAACCATCCGATCTCACTGAGCAGCGGATAGGAGCCACCTTTGAGGTGGTGTGCGAGGCCCAAGGAGTTCCCCAGCCTGTGATCACCTGGCGGTTAAACGGGAATATCCTGAACTCGCAGACCAATACGGGAAATCGCCAGAGCCTTGTCCTGGAGATCAAGTCGCGGAACCAGGCGGGTCTCATAGAATGCGTGGCCAGCAATGGAGTGGGTGAGCCAGCGGTGGGCAATGTGTATCTACATGTGCTGTGTGAGTATCCAAATTTTGAGAATTTTATCAAACAAGTTTTGTGATATAATAATTATAATTTTATAGTTTTATATATCAATCAAACTGAACAGATTTCTATGAAAGTTTTAACCCTATAACTTTGCCTCTTCCCCATCCACAGTTGCTCCCGAGGTGAGCATGCCCCAACCGGTGGTGTACACGAAACTAGGCTCTCGTGCCCATCTGGAGTGCATTGTGGAGGCGGCACCAGCTGCCACGGTCAAGTGGTTCCACCATGGACTGCCAGTGGCTCTGGGAGCCCACTCCAGCAGTCACGAGTCGGAGATGCAGACGAACCGTTCGGTGGATCATTACGTAAATGCCGTGCGTCATATGCTGGTGGTGAAGAGCGTTCGGAATGCGGATATGGGCCAGTACGAGTGCCGAGCCAGTAACCAGGTATCCGGAAAGAGCGGAAGCGTCGAGCTGACTGGTCGTCCCATGCCCTGTCTCTTCAAGATCAATCCGGGCACCCAGAGCTCCACGTCGCATGTCTTTGTTTGGCAGACGGAGAGTCTGCTGCCCATCATGGAGTTTAAGCTGAAGTTCCGCCAGATTCCGTCGAACAATGTCACCCGGCAAATTAGAACCAACTGGACGGAGCTAACGATTCCCGCTCAGGCCACAAATGGTAAGGATTCCCAAATTTATGCTCTTGTATCTTAGAATTCTTGGAACCTTAACAGAAATGTTGTAAATATAACTTAAGTTTGATTCTATGAGTATAAAAAAGACAAATCACCCAATAATTATGAAAGATTACATTGTCTAATGAATAAAGTTACACTTTTCTCGAATCAAGGCCATTAATATAATGGTTAATGGTAGTTAACTTACATGAAAAATACGAAAAGTATATTTTTATTCACGAGATAATGAAAACTTCCCTCTTGATAAAATTTAGACTTGAAGAAAAATACGTAAATAGACATTTACTATCAAGGCAGATAAGAAATTATAAAGATATTAAACTATAACCTTTAATTTATTAATCATTGATTTTATAATCTCTTTGAAACCCAGGTCTTATTTATATCACCACATATGCTCTGCATGGCCTCCAGCCAGCCAGTCTTTACGAAGCTTCCGTATTGGCCAGAAACAGTTTTGGTTGGAGTGATAACAGCAAGATTGTTCGCTTTGCAACAGGCGGAGAAGGTCAGATAGATTAAATAATAAATAAAGATATCTTGTATTAAGTGAAAATTATCTCTGCAGTGGAACTACCCAATTATTCGACAGAATCAGAGCTTCAGGATGATTCGACCGAGGAGGACTTCCACAATGAAATCACGCAGAGGTCGGAGGTTCTTTCGGCCAGCATGATGTTCAACTCAGGCTCAGTTAATGGGCACGGATTAAGTGCCTTAATATATTCCCTCTGTCTAATTAAACTTTTACTATTGATAAGCTAAGTTTAACTATAATATATTAAACGACCTTACTGAACTCGATTTCTAATAAAAATCATGAAATAATTCTGGTTGAAAGTATGCTTCAGGTCATCAGTGATTCACAATAAGATTTCCTCTGCTGAATCACACTTCCGTGAAAAAGTATAAGATAAGGTGATTCTGACAGTGTATCATGGTAAACAAAATCGTTTTGTTATTGTGACTCTAGGGTTATTTTTATCTATGCCTGAAATGAATTAATATTCTGGAATGTACTTTGGTTAGGTTTATTCTGTTTGATATATCAATGAGAAAATAAATTCATTTTTTGTGAAATAAACAAATCTTTTTGACCCCAAATTGATCTTTCATTTTTTCAATGAAATCTTGTTCTTGTTCTCTTATTTATAAATAATAAAGTTAATACATTAATGGCGTTTAATACATCTGCCAAATGTTTAGCCTTTTATACTCAAAACCTTATCTCATCTTAGCTAGAAATTCAGATTCTTAGAAGGTACTGTAAGCTACATATGTATGAATATAATCTTTTTTTAGTCATCCCGGTTTCTCTCGGGGACTATAAACGATAGAGAGCTGGGATTAATCATGCATATTACAGAAAGCCTGCGCACATCAAGGTTGTTCAGCATCAGCATCCCACAAACCACAAATAACTGTGTCCATAATATAAGGGTTAACGTTTTGAATTTTCATTAAGTATTAATAATTAATCAAAGATTTGTACTCAGTTTCTATCGGCTATAACGTAAGGACTTACAAAAATAAATATTTATACGCGTTACTCGTACAGTAAAAGGGTATATTAGATACTTTGAAAAGTATGTAACAAGTAGAAGGAAGCGTTTCCGACCCTGTAAAGTATATTTATTCTTTATCAGTAACAATAACGAAGTCGATTAATCCGTCCATCTGTCCGTATAAACGCTGAGATCTCAGGAACTATATGAGACACAAAATTGAGATAGGGCAGGCTGATTCTTGAGGTCCCACCTTAAGGTTCCAACGCAGCGCAATTTCATCCAGCATCCTGCCACGCCCAGTATAACGCCCACAAGCAGCGAAAAACTGTGGCATCCTTAATATTATAATTTATGCCTTCTTGTGACCTTGTATAACATATTTTTGTCAATATCTATCAGTTTACCAAAGATTTTTCAAATCACAGCATTATTGTGCTCTTTATAAAGGCAAGGTTATAAGGCCTCACATGGACAATGACGTCACCATCAGTTAGTAAACATGTTTTTTGGACAAAAGGTGGCGCTTTGTCTATTTCCACTAGCGAACTGAATATTTTAAAATAGTGTAAAACAGTAAATGGTATCTTCTAGTCGCGGCACTCGACTAAAGCGTTTCTTCTTGTTTTTAGTTTAGTTTTTTTTTTAATGTATCTCGTAAAAATAATAATAATAAATCAATAATAAAAATAAATCACGCAGAGGAGTATCCTATTTGACTTTACCTTTACTTTCAGAGGATATTACAAATCGAAAATTTGCGCCATCAACGGTTTTCGAAAGTTGTTTAATCGGTTTTTGGATAAATTCCCAAGCAAAAAAACTCAAAAAAATGAAAAATGTGTATGTCACTAAGAGATAATTATAATTTTAGAAAATTAAAAAAAAAACCTAGTAATCTATACCGAGTAATGCTAAATAAAGCCAAAGCAAATAGGAGTAGTAATAACTTGTTAACTTTAATTTGTCGAACAAACTTAACAGTGAAGCAAAGCATACGTGGTCTCCAGTGCGTATGTGTTATATTGGTGAAATATCTTATGAAAGTTTATATATCTTATAAATTGGAGAACCCATAGGCCCCATCAAACTTCTTTTAGGGTACTTTTTCAGTATAGGGCTTCCTGTTTGAACTTCAATTGGCAGTGACATTGCGGGCAGCTAGCGCATCTTTCAAGCTCCAAGACCCGCTCTCAGAAACTCTCTCCGAATCTGCCCCTCTCTGTTTGCAGGCAGAGAGATGAACTGTTAACTAGAGGCCCCAATGCAATGGAGAGCGAGAAACTATATATATGTACATATATACAGAGAGAAAGAGGCAGAGAGAGGGACAAACTTGAGGTGTTCCGCTTGCCAATCGTTTCACAATGCTTTTGGCATCCACAGCACGCGCTTGACTTTCAGTTCTCGTTTGAACAGCTTCGCGTTCGGTTATCCACGAGGCCCCAGCGCAGCAGTAGAAAAAGGTCTCCATCCGAATCTCCAACTGAACCAATACCGCCTCTCTATTCCTATTCCCCCGCCAAACCCAATTACCGACAGCTGTAAACGTTTGCACTCGACCTGGCTAAAAAAAAAAACGTGTAAAAATCACTTAAAAATGGCGTGCGGGCGAAAGCGTTGCCAACGCGCAAGTGTTAAATTTAATTCGTACAAAATCGGGAAAACCAAAAAATACAAAAACGAAAAACCGAAAAACCAAAATACGAAAAAAAAAAACAAAAGGAAAAAATGAAGAAGATGGGAACCACTTTTGTAACGCTTCAGCCGAAATTCATCTCGCGTCGGTATCTGGGGAGCAGAAAACCAGTTTTCCTCCTCTAGGCTCGCTGGGCAAAATAAATACCAAGCAAAATAACAATCTTTAACGCACTTCCATATATCCATTCTGTAACACTGAGATGGCCCTGAGAGGCTGCCTGTTCTGCTGTCGAACTTTAAGATTTCGGCTTCGGGCCAAAACGCAAAGGCGATGATTCATAATAATGGCCAGCAGATGTGGTCTATATCTTCACTTCTTTTTTATCCTACTCCTCCTTGGAAGCCCATTTGGCAGAAATTCAAATGCAAATTCGGTTTCACTTGCAATTCTTCTTCGCTGGCAGATTCTTCGCTGCACATTCTATAAATATGTAGAAATATGTAAAATAGCTGCCGTTGTGCCGGCTACGAAAATACACCAAACAACACAAGAAATGGCAAGCGATTTTCCTCTCGAATGAAAGGGAAAATGCAAGAGGAAAGCTAGCTGGGTGGGAAGGAAATGGAAGTTGGGGGGAGAACGCAGGAAAGTCAGGGACCAGCTGCTGGGTGGGAAAAAAAGGCAAGGGAAATGCAAACAAAAACGCTGAATGGAAAACAAATTTTCTATTTTATTTACACTACAGAATAGGCAAAAAACTGGGAAGAAAATAACAGAAAAGTTTTTTTCAATTCTTCTCGCTATCCCCAAAAAGCATTCTACGGATGGAAGACAGCTGCATCTTCACCCCTCCCACACTCTCGCACACACAAGTGCAGCGATTGTGTGGGACTGTGTGTGTGTATCTGTGTGTAAACTTTGAGCGCAATGTAAATAAACAAAGCGCCAAAGACAAGAACAACAACAATCAAGGCATTGATTTAAAGACAGAAGAAGAAGAATCGGTACCAACAAAAAACGAGAGAGAAAAGTTGACCTAAGAAAGCCGAAGTTTGAATACTCTTTTCATTTTTGTGTAAATTGAAGTTCATTGCGTTTTTTAACATATCTCCTTATACATAATAAAGATCTAAAGATAATAAACTTCTTAGTACATGAAATTATCTTCTCAAAAACAACAAAGTCATGCAAAAGTTTCCCATATTTTCCCTTGACAGCCATCAGTTTTAATTGCCTTCGATATGGGTAATTAATCTTCTCAAATAAAACGCTTACAATCGTTCAAGCTGAGTGAATACACCTGTATATCATCTTAACTATATATTGAACAAATCTGAATAGTTGTGAAACCCCCTGTAAGGGTATGAGCAAGTAAAGCAACCCAGTTAGCACCTTTTCTTCTCCTTTGATTTTATAATTGATAAACAGACCGAAGGGGCGGTAAATTCAGTGATAGTTAGTGATAGTTAAAGAGGCTTTCGTTGACGTTGGTGTCAACGAGTGTTAGTTGGTACACACACAGCAGGTCGTATATCTCAGGTGGTGTACACTCAAATGACACCCCGTAATAAAGTGGCTGAGAAAACTTAGATGCACAAGAGAGTGAAGAAATTGTCACTCATTAGGGAGCTTTTGTTCAGGGATGCCAAGTGAGGGAGGAAAATAGAGACAAATACAAATAAGAGCTTATGTCGCCAACATTTACCTTGCATTTTCCGATGAAGGGGCAAGAAAATAGTGTATAATTTGAAGTGTGTCAAAGTGAAGCTTAAGTACTAACATTATTTTCAGTCTAATCCTCACTTGTTTCAAAGATCTTCCCTAATTAATGGCGCTACTTAACAAGGTTCCTTACGATGTATCTTCTTTTTATAATTTTCTATTTCAGTAACTTTAAATACAACCTTTTCTTGACATCTTACGTTGTTATTAACTTACAAATGTAAAACTAAATATTAACTTTGCTGCCTAAGTAGTGACGAAAAGAGAATCAATAAGTCGACTCTTTGCCCAGCAAATATTGCGAAATTTTCAAAGATTTTTCTTTTGCCAATGCATCAGCGATGGATTATGATCATCGGGCATTGCAAAATTGTTTGTTTTATGAGTCGAGCATATCAACAAATACGCATGCAGATTGTTGTTTGCTTGTTTGGGTGAGCTATGCCATTTGCAATCGACTTTTATATCAACAGGCCGAATTTTGTTGGCTGGTGTGTTTTCGGTTTCGGCTTTTCGTGCTTTACAATTTTTTCGCATTTGCACATTAATTTATTTATATGCATAAACATTTGCATGCTATTCGACTTGGCACACCCTGACCCAACAGAACCAGCCCCCAAAGCCCCCACTTCGACCCAGTTTATTGGCCGGCTGGCATTGAGTCAGCCCCAAAAGTGAAAAACACAGTCGAACTTCTTTAGATCTAACAAATCACGCCGGGAGAAAAAGCAAGCTAAGCTAATAAACTGAGATGTTTGGTGCCTAATTTGTATGACAGAAAAATGCCTTTTTTAGATATATTTGAATATGTCAAGCAATGCAATCTTATGGATTAAAAGGAGTCTCTTAAGATGCTCTAATCTTATCGAGAAGTTACCCCTATAGAGTTCTTACTGTACCTAGAGAGAGGGACTCGATGTGAGCTGCAAATTAGCCAGCGACAGCAGCAGTAGCAAACACCAGCAAATGCCGATTTTCGCATAGAGATCATAATATCTTCGAGATACAACTTATCGACGGAGAGCAAATTGCGACAAGATACAACTCACGGCTTGCATAACGTAACGCGGTCAAGCGAGTGAACAATATTTACAGGTCGTTCGAATATTTTCAATAAAAAAAAAGTTTGTAGTTCGCGCTTTTCCTTGCATTTCGACCAAGCCAATTAGAAGTTTCCGGTCCGCGGCGCAGCTCGAATACAAAATACAAAAAAAAAAGAAAAAATAAACTACAAAGCGAAATTAAGAAATCATAAAACCAAAAAATAAATTGTAAACGTTTTTTCGGCGGTTTTTGCGGCTCCCATTTGGGAGTATCATAATGGGCCAAGCAAATTAATTAAGTACCCACCAACCATATTAATTGCAGTTAACGACCTACCTCCGACAGCTCCGAACCAAAATCCAAATCGATAGACCAACTCACCAAAAACCAATCACCAACCACCATGATCAAAGCGAAAGACTCGACGTGGCTGCTGCTCATTTGTCTGTTAATTGGCCAACTATATGGTAAGTCAAGGACTCAATCTGATGGACTATAAAAACAAAGAACTAATTCGAAATAACACGATCTGATTTGATTGCCATCGAAGTGGGTTTCGAAAGAGGAAAATTCGGGGAAAACCCAAACTCGAAAGCCAGAGAGAGAGTTGTAATGAATGTGTAATATTTTTATGACTACTTGTAAAGATAAGAAGACTGGAAAGTGCAGCAGAAGAAGCTATGATTGTCTTTAGATTCTACATAAAACTTGGAATGTGTAATTAGGATGCAGTGAAACATAACATTATGTTTATATCAGATTATATATGATTATTATATATACAAATCCTATATTCACTTTCTACTCTTTCTGATTATTAATAATCTTCTTAAGTTCCATTAACATTCCAAAAAGTTTTCATGTCAAAGTATTGACTTCTCCCCAGCTCTCAATGAGCATTTACGTAATTTTCCAGAAATTATGAATTACCGAATATCGGCCAGAAATAAGTATGAGCAACGTAGCCCAGATATGAACTCTCACGTCCACATATGCCACATACGAGTACATATCTCCCGAGAAAGCTCCAGATACGCTGGTTTATAGTTGGGGGCTATATCGTATGGGTGTGAGCCCACGTGCGTATGGCTTTATCTTTTGCGTAAATTGAACTCACACTAGGGCGAAGTGTAGGTGCCAGTGGAAAAACAATCATATCTTATCGCCGAGAGAGAGAGAGCCAGCAGACCCTTATCTACGCTCAGAAAGTTAAATTTCATTCGCTTTTGGAATTATGGCGCAAATTGCCGATAACCGTCGGTTAACATTCCATTTCACGTACCTCAGGAACCTCGGTGGCGATGGGTTGGTAACCACTCCCACTCCCTCCTCTGACTTCTCCAGAACATTTTCCATTTTTTCCGGGTGCCATGTGTTCAAAAATACGAATAACAGAAAAAAAAATATCGCCCAACGAGCAGAATAAATATTTGCCATGCACGAACGCTGTGCAAAGAATGGCATTTTGATGTTGGATATTTGCTCGTAAACTCCTTCTATGTGTACGTGAGAACGCCCCCAGAGCTTGGGATGTAATCAGATGTCCCAGATGTATTTCAATATTTAAGCATACACAAATTCTTTGTTTTTAATTAACAATGAATTTCGGCCAATTCTAGCCATGAGATAAGACCAAGCCAAAAACCATTTTAAAACAAACTAAAACACGCAGACATATGTGTGGGGAATTCGGAGCTTTGCCTTCTCGTGTATCAAAGTTCTATCAACGGAAAAACAAAAACAAAACAAATTCAAGTATGTTTGGCCTACAAAAACATCTTGGCCAAGTCAATTTGTACAATATTTCATAATACTCGCGGCGACCAAACAAAAATATTTGTTTGTCTGTCTAAAATTCCTGCTCGCTCTTAGAATGCGGAACTGAAGTTGATAAAGGCCCGCGGCCCTAATGGAAATTCGGTTTATTTATTCGGAAAACAACAAGTCAAGGTCTCTGGGGGGGATATAATAAAACAGTATTCCCGGAATTGGCGATTAAGTGTTGGCCTTTACATACCCATGCATATATGCATAAGTGCTTGGCTGACTTTTTGGAGGTTTCATTCGGTTTTCGGTATTTTTCGGAAAGCGCCAAAATCCAAAAAATTATCAAATTACGCATTCGCAAGCATCTGTGGCAGCAGTCGAATTCCAAAAATAAAGATCGCATAATAAATCAATGATTTGATCAATCAAAATGTTCCACAGGGTGTGGAGAGACCCCACCCATGGGCCCCTAAAGGCGGCCGTCGATTTGCCGTTTCAATTGATTTCAGTTTAATTTTCCATTTCCATTTATTATGTGTTTGTTTTTTTCTTTTTGCATTTGTTTTGTGTCTCTATGCTAATTCAGGGAATCAAATTATGTATACAGTGGAACTAGCCACATGGTAAATTTTTAATGGCGGTAAAATTGTTTGATCTATAAAGTTTACAAGCCATAAATTAAACTATTTTCTTATTTGCCGTTTTTTGCAAGAACAACATTTCACAAATCTAGAAAATATTTGAAATATTTTGAAAACGATCAGCTTTCTATACAAATTATTATTTTCTAAAATTAACTTAAATGTCTGCAAAAGGCAAGTAAAGAATATTAGCAAAAATCATATCATAATATTTCAATATTGTAAACTATAAAAGCACAAAAGAAGTTCTTCACAAGGTATTCTCACTGTACATCTATCAAGATTGAAGATTCCCCTCTCCACCATTTCAAACTCACCCAGTTCTGGGCACTTTTACGACCCCCCGTCAGAATCTGACTTCTCCATCGACTTAGACATGACATGTCGATTAAAGAATGTTCCTCCTCCTCTGCCGACTAGGCGAAATCTGGCCGATGTTTCCTTTTCGAGATTTCTGAAAATATTCGAGTATATTGTGCATTTAGGATTGGCAAGCGGCGAGTAGTTGCCATCATTTATTTATACACATTTCATTGAGTCAGCAGACTTGGGCGAGGATGTCGATGTGGGCCACTGCGGATTTGTTTACTTACTGACCTCATAACTCATCCGCCCTGTCTGCGATCTCTCATCTACTGACTACTCACCATACGGAACAACAGTGCGATCATGAAATGGCAATCATCGAAAATCTTGAACTGAATCTTGAATGGAAGTTATCAATGCTCGGGCGAGACTACAGACCTGTCCGACCTTCCTGATAGGAGTGGAGTGGCTTATATACTAGTGGCGCCAAATGCCAGGAACGCTCGTAAATGAGGCTTACATATACCGATTTGGAATCTGGGCCAAAGTAATGAAGAAGTATAATTGCATAGCCAAGGAAAGAGCAAATGTGATTCTATGAAACGGTGTTAACGGGGCGATTAATAAAGGCTTAAAGCTATTAACATATTATTAGGCTGATTAAGAACTAAACAATCGAGTTTAATTGGTTTTTACTATCTGTCTTTTCTGTCTAATGTTATCCTTTCTATCCATCTGCTTACCAAAGAAAGCTTCAAACTCTTCGAAGTACTCTTTGTAAATTTGCAAACATTCCCACGCCATCTTGCGATTTCCCTAAGACCTTCGAACATGACTTCATCTCGCTGGGAATGCAAAGTCATCAAAGTTGGCCTCAAGAGTTGAGTGGATTGCGACAAATTCCCTAGGACGTCCCAATGCCAATGCAGGCCACAAATGGCCATTGTGTATAACATTGAACTCGAGTTTAAAGACAAAGGAGTGGCAGGACGAGGGAGTCTGGAAGCGAAGCTGGCGCCGCGACATCCTGACGCCATTGTTCCACTTAGAACGATTGCACTGGGGAGTCGAAAGGAAGTAAGGGGGGGGGCCTTAGAAGGTCTGAGCACATCATCCATACGGATAAACTTAAGTTCCGAGTGGATGTTGTTGCTGGGTAGCTGTTTTTTATTTGCAAGCAACCCCCAACAATCCCGACATCGATCCAAGGACAACGCTCGCCCAGGGGGCTGGATGACGCATGTGGCAACCCCCAACCAGCCCGACTGACTTTTGGCGCTGACCTACTTGCAGACAACAATTGCGTGGAGTCCGCTCTCGGGAAGCCTCTGTAACCATGGACCCATAACCTTGACACCGGCCGATGATTGCAGTCCAATAGTTTCCCCAATCGCCAAACCAAAAGGAAAAACAAGAAACCAGATCGCCGAAGGTCTCCATCTCGATGCTCCAACTGCTCTTGGCCAGCTATTATTTTCCTCCATCCAACTGGCCCAGACCATAAAAGGGGCGTCTGGCTGCTTGGCTGCTTGGCTGAGCGGATATAAGGAGAGGCCATTGGATAAGATAACTGGCTCCGTCTTTGGATCGAGTGTGTCTACCTAAAAAAGCTTTTATCGGCCATTGATAACGAGTTTAAGCCACTTGCGTAATCCCGGCAATATCCATCATAACCTTATGCGTTGGCCATGATGGAGTTGTCATGAATCATGAGTCATTCGGCTATTAGCTGTTAGATGACAAGTCAGTTACAGGCCGCATATGGCATGCAAATCGTTATGGCTAATACATAAAAAATGGCGGTTGAACAAATTACTCATTCAATTTGCATAAATTCACAGTTTTTGGCCTGGAAGAGTCACTATGCAAATAGAGAGAGAGGGCAATGAAGATTTCCAAACCCAATCTCTGCTTTTTTATGGCCTGCGGTAATTTACCTAGAGCAAAAGATAAATTTTCTCATATCTAGCTTGGTATTTACCTTTGGTTGTATAAGTCAGACGATGGATAAGTTCTTCGGAGATGGCCTAAAAGTGTCAGTTCTTCGAAGTATACTTTGAGGGGCTTTTCATGTGACTCTATAACCTGCGTTTACTGTAAACATTCAGTTTCGGAGCTATCAAACTGAAGTATCTGCAAATATGCAGTGTGCTGTCTCCCCTAGTTCCTGTTGGAAACTCATTTCCGTTCCAGCACTTCACTCCAATAGACGAGTTCTTTGTACGGCGACCCTTTGATTGGGAGCAGAACTTGTGCGATTTTTATCAGTTCCAATTAAGTCTGTAACCACTTAGGGCTTAGGTCTCCCATGACTCACCAATGCACCTTCTCCGTACCAAAAATAATATTAAGTTCTCACTGGAAAAATAAGGCGAATATGTGGCCTTTCAATGATTTAAATTGCTCACAAAAGATGACTACGAATTGGGCTCATTAAATTGAATTGCTAGAAAGTTCATTCAATTATTCAGTTTTTATGGGTTAAGGGAGACCTTTTTTCATCGAATTTGAAAGGGAAATAATAAAGGTAATTAATAAAAATGTATTTTCCAGTGTCTTGTCATGGATCACCATTGAACACGGATTCAAATTATCAGGACGATGAATACGATTATAATGTCGACGACGAAGAGGACAGCCAAGCTGTGGATATAACAAAAGGCCAAGAGCAGCAACAAGAACCGCCATATTTCGAGGAAACGGACCTAAGGATCGAGGGCAAGCCGAGAGAAGATGTGATTCTTAACTGCGATGCAAGGAACTTCCAAAGTGAGTTTGAGTTTGTTAATTCTCCACCGAAAACATTTAGTAACTCTTTAAATTAATCCATGCAGTTAACAATGTGGCGATGTGGTACAAGAACACGACACTCATCGCCAATGGCCTGAACCCCGTTAGCCCACGAGTGGAGACCATGCAGAACAATTCCTTACTCCTGCGCAATGTGACGCCGGAGGATTCAGATGATTACTATTGCGAAATCCTGCCCCAGAGGGTTCGACAGCACACGGCACTGCGGGTGGGCGCCCGGCTGTCGATCCTCTGCGACGATCGCGATATCACGGATCGTTCGCAGACGTTCAGGCAGGGCGACCACCACAAGCTTGAGTGTCGAACATATCTGCCCGGCAATACCACTATCAAGTGGTCCTTTAATGTATGTTTTTCCGTTAGTCCCGTCATTGTTCCACTCAGTTCCTATCCCCGGTATCCGCCACCCATTTCCCTTCCCGAATTTCTTGCAGGATCTAAGCGGGCAGCCATACGCCGTCGATCACCAGAACGGCGTAATTATTTTGGACAACGTTGATGAAACTAATGCCGGAGACTACCAGTGCCTGGCCGACGATGGCAGCCGCCATCCGCCCCATGGAACGGTTCACATTGATGTCCAGTACAGTCCCATCGTCTCCACCCATCGGCATAATGTGAACACTGAGAAGGGAGCCACCGCCGAGCTGTATTGCAACTATCGGGCCAAACCCATTGGCAGGAGCTACTTTATCAAGGATGGCAAGACCCTGCAGCTCTCTGATAAGTACTTCCTCCAGGATACGGTCCACAACGGCCACAATCGCACCACTCTGATTGTCCGTGAAGTCACGGACAACGACCGGGGCGACTATCTGTGCCAGGTGGAGAACGCCATTGGATCCAACGAAGTGAAGATTCATGTCAGCTACAAACCAGAGACCCCGCAGTTCGAGGACATGTCGATGGAAGGCAACAAGGTCACTCTGCACTGGCTGGTCAGGAGTAGGCAGCCCCTCTCCGAGGCCATGTTGGACTACAAACTAACTGGGGTGAGTGGTAGAGTTATTTAAAATCTTTAAAATGTTAGAAGTTCCCTAAAATATAAATGGAAAATTTTCAATTTTCAGTCGTTCGCTTGGAGCACTGTTTCCGTGCTGCAGACGCATCGCCACAACAACACGCAGAACATCTGGAAGATCACTCATCAGCTGGAGCTGAGTCGCGGAGAGTGGCATGCACGCGTAAAGACGAAGAACACCGATGGGTGGTCCCACTTCTCCAACGATCACGACTTCGAGATCCGTGATGGTTTCGAGATTGAGAAAGATGAAGGTAAGTACATACTATAGGAAATTGTATATAAAAACTATAATCAAATAAAATTACTTCCATTCCGCAGACTTTGATCAAGGCAGCCTTCCGGAACTGCCTCCGGATGAGATCGTGCAAGCAGGAATCGGACCCGTGGGCCGAGGAGCTGCGTCAGCACTGCGACAGCTGAATTTAGGAGCTATCCTGCTGGCAGCGCTCCTGCTGCGAGTCCGCCATGATGTGTGTACATACTTATTTCCGGATTACTCAGCTATCGATGGCATCGGAGCGATAGCGAACGCACATAGGAACCGAAACTAAAGTATTCTAATTATACAAATGCTAATGCGCGACCGCTAGCTTGGGTCAATGTTAATGCTAATGCTAAAGTACACGCTGGAGCGATCACAACTGAAACATTTGTGCCAAGCCAGGGGAATATTAATTGGTATTCGAGCGAGGATTAAAGTTAATTTAGTTTAGTTAAAGTTAAAGCAAAGCCCCACGGAAGGAGTCGTTGATTAGGACAGAGAAACTGCGAAGATCGGTTTAAAACCGCACAAGAAAACAAACTTAAGAAACCCTTTGATTAACCTTAGCTATAATATTTATTTGTTTTGTCTGTATGTGAGAGTTGGCTTTTATAGAGGAGGAACCCGAACCGAAAACGAATACAAAAGAGGAAAGATTTTCCCAGTGGGTTTTCCAAAAAAAAATCCACTAAAATAATCATTTCCCAGCCAAGCGATGGCTTAGTACGAGGTGTGTTCAAAAAGTAAGGTGACTCTTCAAATTTCAAATTTTTCAAATTTTTCGATTATCGAAACCTTTTAGAAGTTATACGAGGTGTGTTCAAAAAGTAAGGTGACTTTTCAAATTTCAAATTTTTCAAATTTTTCGATTATCTTCAGTTTTGGGAACAAGAAAAAGTCACATGGGGCCAAATCCGGTGAATATGGTGGCTGAGGCATTATTGTGGTGTTGTTTTTGGCCAAAAAATCCAAATCCTTTGATCCATATTTTTCGATAGCAAAAAATCGCCGAGCTCGCAAAACAACTTGTAACTTTACGCCTCTCACAACCAAACAAAAGAGGATGTTCCATTGAAACTTGGTACAGATGTTAGGGAAGAGTGTACCAATATAACAAAACAAAAAAATCGATAATCGAAAAATTTGAAATTCGCGAAATTTGAAGAGTCACCTTACTTTTTGAACACACCTCGTATAGCGAAGAATGGGTAAAATTCTAGTGACTGTATAGGATTTGCAATATTTTTGTATACCCAAGCGTACTTAAATCAGAGGGGGGAATGGGATGGGATTAATCGAACGGCACGCGAATTATTTTATAAACTAGACCAAAGCTTAGACATACATATGTGTACCTACCACACCATACATACATATGAAACTTATTTTTACGAAACTACGCCACATCAACTCAATGGAACAGATCGATTCGAAACATACAAATCAGAAGGAATATCGCATATGTACCTATGCTTAAGAGATACTGAAGATAGAAAGTCGGAAGAGATAGCCATATATATATATATTATATTATATATCTTGTGTAACGTTGATAGTCGTCGGGTCTGGCCTTACACTGTTTGTCCTTGATTCTGCTACAATACCTGAGGAATGTCGCCATAACATGCTGACCATGTACACTGTACGTATGATTAATCGATTGTGAGTGTAGAAATATATTTTATATATATTTTAATTAAGAATCATAACATTAGAGCTGATCAATAACGTGCCAATCGAAGCAATCAAACCGATTGCTCGCTAAATCAAATCAAATTAAATCAAAACGACACAAAACTAAAGTTCCATAAACAAAGTTTTCACGAGGACCTGATTTCGAATGCCGACCTTTAAGCATATATACAGAATCATATATATATATATATATATATATATATATTAAAGAGAAGAAGGAATACTTAAAGCCAGTGTCTTACATGAATATTGTAATTTTTGTTGAGTCCATGATAAGTAAGCAAATAAAATTCAACTAAACGGATCAAAGTTGGAGTTTTCTTTTAGATTAAATCACAAATCCTAAGTGTTTAAGTTTACTTTGGTTCCTTTTTTATTTAATAAATAAAGTTGATTTTGTGTGTCTTTACAAATACAAAAATTTACAATCAACAAAGACTTCATGAAATGCTCATTTCCTGTGAGAAAAGTGGAGAGTGTAGAAGGGAAGGCAGTGGATCTGCCAGCGTAATACTAAACTAAGCTAATGTTTGCCCATCCCCAGGAGCAGCAATATGGTCGATCCGAGGAGTGTGTAGCCCAGAAAACTGCTCGCAGATCCAGCCGAGGATACAGAGCTCTCCGGGGCAATGGCATCCATGGAATGCTCGGTAATGGTCACCTTTGTATTGACCACTGATCCGGAGGGCAGAACCTCGCAGATGTAGGTGCCGCCAACCTGGGGAGTCGCATGCAGGATGGTCAGATCGTAGTTGGCATCCAGCTTAAAGTTGGGCTGCACCAGACTCTTGCCATTGGAGATGACATTATCGCCGAAATACCACAGGACAACGATCTCTGAGCTTTCCACTGAAAATAGATCAATCTTTAGGGGTGACCTCTATGGGGTTATTGGTCAATATACTCACGATTGCTGCCCACATCGCACTTGAGCACCACATCCTCGCCTCGGATCCCCGTCACAGAAACAGTTTTGTTGATCTTCTCGCTGGAGCCTTGGCTCTGGGATTTCATCTGCGGACTGGGAGCACTCTGGTCTTCTCCTCCATAATCGAAATCATCGTCGCTCTGCATTTGCTCTTCTTCCGCTGTGGATTGAGGGTAGGAGAGCACTGAAATGGTGAGAAGTGGAGAAAATTATATTAAGATATTTATGTTTATTAAGAGAAATGTCGTACTGCATATTTATAGATATAATTTATATATATATAGCAATGCCTTTTTGCATTTTAAATAAATGCCGATATCATGTACTTGCATACCGTCTTTATAGTTATTTTTACCTTCACAACTTTAATTTAATTTTATAAAATGAAACTACGACATAAGTTTTCGCTTTCAAACATATATTATTCTGATAAAAAGAGTAATCATGATAGAAATTATATTGAAATTCGTTTTAAATTATTATTTTCTTGACTTAAAGAAGATAAACTTTCGTAACCTATAAAACTAAGCTACCCAAAACTTATATCTTTTCTCTGCAGTTTAGTGACCTATAAATCGACATTTTCAGCGGTAGCCTCAGAAGATAAACTGTAATTATAGCCCATTGGATTGTTTATAACGGGCGCCCGCGGGAGGTCACATCAGCCACCGCATTTAGTCGGTGGGTTAATTAAGGGAAATTAAATGGAAATCGAAACCAAGGCAGACTTCTGGTGCTGTTTGTTGTTGTTTTAGCAGAATGCACTAGGCCATCATAACGGCGTGTGTTTGTGTTTGCCTTTATCATTTTCATTTTCGCAGCTCAAATTCATCAGGGGATTTCCTGGCGAAGGGAGAGAGGGTGTTGAGGGGACAGCTGCACCGATGATGGGTTAAATTAAAAGCTGGCAATTCGCATTCACGGCCTCTCTCCTCTCCTTTCGTTTCTGGTTCCCCTACATAATTACCAACATAAGGCCAGGGGCGTAGGCGAAAGGGGTTGTAAGAGAGAATTTGTTTAACGTTGTCTCCACTGATAAGACTTTAAGTTGTATTAATCATAGGGTAGTTTAATAACAAAACTACATCTAGTAAACTGTTGAAGATCTATTTAGTGATAGTTGAGCTTAGAACTCAAACAAAAGGTTGCATTCTATATCTAAACATGGCATTATCTTTATTTATATTGTCTTACTAAAAACAAGATTTAAAGACCAAACTTTAATAAGATACAAAGATATTAATTCAGAATCATATATATCCTAACTACCCCATAGGATCTTAAATAATCCCCCTTTCGATAAAAATCCTTCGCACGCCACTGCATTTTGTGCATGTGTACAAACACATTTGGTGGAAAACATTTTCGGTGAAATGAGGTCACATGAAAAACGAAAATTAAAATGAGCGAGTGGAGAGAGAAAACAAGAGTGCCTAACCCAACACTCCCCCTGCAATCGCTTCGACCTCTCTCTCTGTTCCGACGACCCCCCACTCCTACCCATTCTGGTGATCGCCGCACCCACATGTGACGTGCTGACGGAAAGCGAAAAGACAACAACAACCACGGCCAGAAGAACGGCAGCACATTGGGCCACATTTTGTTTTTTGTTTTTTTTTGGTGGTGTCGCCGATGGACACACCGAATCCGAATTGAAAGCATTTCACAACAATGTCCATTTTCATAGTGCCAACTGCAACACGCACACTCTAACAACTCAAATGCACTGAAAGAAATACTTTACTAAAATGGTAAACGCAAAAAAATAATAAAATCAGGAAGAGGATTAACCCATATGCTAGATTAAAAAGCATCTAAACTTTAAAATATATTTTCTATAATTTTTAAATTATATAAAATTGTTTATAAAATAAGATTTAAGATAAGTAAGTTCAAGGCCTACTTAGTACCTCCTCCCAATTTATCTCAGTGTAAATAGTAAAACACACCCTCGAACAAAAAGGGACAGTTTGGTTGGCTGATTGTGAAAAGTTTAAATTTACATTTTGTCCATTTGCTTTGGTCGCTTGTTTCCTATGAGTGTTGTTATGGCCAAGTTTTCCTTCGTTTGCTCAGCGTAGCGTGCTAAAAAAACTTAAAAACAAAAAACAAACAGCCATTCTCGGGGGGTTTTGTTAACTTGAATTCGAATTCCTGCCAAAATTGAGGTGATCGTTTGCCCCGTCTCTGTTGCATTCCCCGAAAACCTCCTGCCTGCCCCGCTCCTCTGCCACAAAAAATGCACATTCACTCACGCATTCGCTCTTTGTCGTAAACTTAAGCCATAAAAGAAATTTATTCTCGTATTTACAAAAGACACTGAGGCCATCTGAATTTATGTTGCACGCTCTCCGCCCCCCAAAAAAAAAACAAAATGTTAAAAAAGAGCCATTCAACCGGGAAGATAAGCCTGGAATAACGAACAGCAATCGCAATGAAAGTTTATTTGCAGAATTTCGTTTTTTGGGGGTCGATCTGAATCGAATTGTTTTTTTTTTTTGGCTTCCGATAAAGAAGTCGGGGAATGTGCTTGGGGAAAACGGAAATACAAAGTATTTGCCCAAATAAACATTTTGGAAAACTCTGCTTGTGGATATTTCTGATAACTTTTGGTCTCAGGAAGTTCTTTAAGATGAAAATGATTCCCAAGAGCCTTTTGCTAATTTCATTCTTATCCAAGATTATTTGAATCGCAAAGTTATTTTTGATAAAACATAAATCGATTAGGAATTCGCCAGTCTACATCAAATACATTAAATATAAAAACTACCAAAAAGTATGAAATATTCATTGAAGGTATTCACTGCAAAAATCTTAACAGGAAGTAATGATTTCTTTGAAAAAAAATATAAAACCTTCAAACTTTGATAATATTTTTGGAAAAAGAAATACAAAGTGAAATTCCCACTTAAAATTAATTATCAAAAAACATGAAATATTATTTAAAGCCCAAGGGATTTAATCCCAAAGAAAGTAATAAATAAAATACAAAAAATACAAATCTTCAAATTACCCATTCAAAAACTTATATATCTTTGGCATATACAAAGACAAGGAAATACACAGTAAAACCTCAAAAAACGAAGCTAATAAAGTTGTATTAAGGATTCTTTTAAACTCAAGTCCTGACCTCAAGGAAATTATATAATAATTTGCTTGAATAAAATATAAATCCCTGAAACTTTCATCTTAACCATTAGAACATTTTTTAACCAGAATTTCCAAAAAAAAAACAGAAAAACATTTAAAGTACCATTAATTCGAAAATTCCTCTTTTAACCCTATAATTTCAAGAACCTTAACCCCGGATTATGTACGCTTTCATGTTTCTCCTATCTCCGGAGATAGCATACGCTTAACCCTTGTTTCCCGCCCGTTTTAATTGCTACTCAGAATTAGAGCCACAACAATTTATCATAACCATGATTCCGAAAATAAAAGACAGGGAAATGTGCATTTCAGCTAATAACCCACAGCCTCGGGCCAAAGTTAAGTCAGCATTAGTGCCAGTCACTCCCCCAACCTCTGCTATATATATATACTCGCATATATATATATATATATTTGGTCGGGAATCATTCAAGTGCAGCACTTTTGCTGTTGGTTTTACTACCTGTGATAAGGCCCCGAGGAAATTAAAAGCCAGTCGTGGAGGGAGCGAGCTCTCTGATCTTTGATCTCCTTTCCTTTCCCAGTGTTTTCAGGTTTGTCCAGCCGGGTCTGTCCATGTCCCTCCCCCTCTGTAGCTCGTGCACTGAACCAAATTTGCTAACAGTTGGATAGTCGGTTAGGTTAAGGTTTGATAAGTAAATATTTTTGATTTATTAACCAAAAATAGATTTATTTCTTTTTTTGCTAAGTCTTTGAAAAGTGTATCTTCCTAATAGGGTCGTTAGAAATTTGCATCTAAAAGTCATTTTAACTCTGAAGCAACCTTAACCCATAATAATAACCTGGTCATTTGTATTTCTCCCAGTGTAGTACGTGACTGACCAGTCACAGAAAGCCGGGAGAAAGACCTGGCTAAGGGACAGAGGTGCGTTATATGAGCCGAAAATTGTTTGGCTCTGTTCCTGTGCATTGTGTTTGTGAGTGTGTGTGTGTGTGTGTGTGTATGAGTGTTTGTGTGTGGCAGATAGAGACATGAACGAAGCGGATAATGATAATGGCAGTCGGGTTCTGTGAAAGCGATCAGGTTACGGCCACGATCCGGGAGGAGAGGACCTCATCAAGTGACTACCTACGCATTGGGCACTTTTGAAATTGGCTAGGAACGGGCTGTATTATCCGGCAGAAGGGGAGGGGAGGGGTGAATCTAAAGGGAGTTAAGGACACAGATGCAGGGGCAGATGTGCCTCATCGACAGATGCCACAAACTAGCAAATTATTCGCAAGCGTGTGCCGGGCCTTGGAAAAGGGATATAGTCTAAAGTACCATTTGGCAGATGCCAAACTAATCGAGTTTCTAAAATAAATTCAAAAAACAGAAATGTCTAAAATATGCAAATATATATATGAGCAAGCATGTTTCAATCATTTCGGCCTCCATTATCCAAATCGATTTATTTCAATTTCCATTTGTTTGATCCCCCAGATGAGAGAGAGGCTATACTCGTACTCGCGGCATCAAGTGGCCGCAATAAATTTCGATTTTCTATGATCCAAACGTCTACGTTCTGTAGGCACTTTCTTCATATGCATTTCCAAATAGAGAACATTGATTTCACTTAAACGATTTTACATTGCGCCCTCGATCGACGACGTCCAACACAAAAATTTCTTTTACTTTTCCCCCAAAGTACTGGGAAATGTTCCCCACTGGATATAGTTGCACGTGTCCGTGGCAAGTGCCTCGGATTTTGGGTTCGAAATTGTGCGGGCGCAATGCCAACGGCGGTTAGATGTCTATATAGTAACTATATTCGAGTTGAGGCGCGACTTGGGCTACGCCTAGCGCATACTAAAACGCTCTGGGGCAGGGCTCGTGTTTTCCAACTGGCTTCTAATTAATATGCAGCACTCCTTTCTAGTTCTTCCCTAAGCTAGGGTACTCCCTTCTTTTCTTCCAGCTACAATTTGGTTAGCTATTCATTTCGATTTGGGTTATTTATTGCCATTTGACTGGACTTGGAGCCACGGACGAGGCTTCAATTGAAATTTTGGCACGCAGCGGAGAGAATATTTTAAAATTCGACACACTAGACCTTGAGGAATGTCGTTAAGAAGTTATTAACTACTTTTTGGCGGTGAGCAACAATAAAACAAAAGAATATAATAAATGAAGGGGGAACAGTTTTGACATTTACAATAAGTTTGGTATTTGCTTAAGAATTTACAGGCCAACAGTTTGGTTAGAAATTTAATGATTAAATATTTGACATTTATATCAATTAGTCATGATGGTAGCGAGAGTAGAGGTCTGAAATATGATTATTATTCTGTATATTTAAACTTTTAACTTAAACAATATTCAACATTTCTTAGTACATAAACAGGGCTTAAGCCCTTATCTGAGCTAAAAGACTTATCCTAAACATCAACTTAAGATATTTATTCGGAAACCAAAGTGGCAATCTGAAATAGCTTGCATAGCTGAATCGGTTACCCTCGAAGTACTTATCCCCGGCATTATGGCTTTCCACTTCTTATGTATTATGGCTCGTAAATTCTGGAAATATTTCCACCAAGCCGCCACAGCATCTGCGGCTCTTTTCCGCTTTTTTTCGCTTTTGACTTTGACTTCTGGCTGCCGCTGAATCAGCAGTTGGGTTCTCCATTATCGTGCCGATCATCAGTGCATTTGTAGGGAGGGGTTATGCTATGTACAACTCTTATATCGTATATATAATCGTATATATATAATCGTACCCCACTTGAGTGGTGCTGCACCACCACTCCGCCCGCCTCCACTCCACCCCCTCGATAAGCCCGCACTCCGCGGACGACAACTCATTCAGCGGCAGGCGATTCGCCAGCAACGTTAAGTAAATTGATTCTTTAATTGTCGAGAATTGGTTACCAGTTGGCTTAACTCGCTTTTGCCCGCCGTGCACACCCCCGTCCACAAAGCCCCCATATTTGCTGTTGCTTTTGCAGTGTAGATGTATGTAGCCATGGATGTGGCATGACTGTGGCTGTGGATGCAAGCAAAGAATCAAGAGTCGAGAATGAGAATCGGGCGTCGAGCATTGAGAATGAATACCAGGCCATGGTGAACAGAGAAGACAGCAACGGGTGAGTCATCTGGGTCCAAAATAAATACCCGGGGCCTCCGTTGAGCAGGAATTTCTGCACAGACTAGGGCAGGGCCCTCACACCCGGCCACTCCCACTCCCCAGCCCGCGACTCCCTCGCATTGCGAGCAAAACAAAATCTTTTTTTATGATTCGCGGTTGTCGAAGCATTCGCGGTCATTTGATGCCTTCTTGCTCGTTCTCCCACCAGCCCGGGCACTTCAATTCGCACCAAACAGCCAACAAACACACAAACTGCCATGAAATTCAATCCCTAAAGCGGGAAAAATAAGAAAGAAAGACCCAGAGATCTGCACAAGGAAAAACATGTCCCGAAAGTAAGGCACTCAAATTCTTCAGCATTACTTTTTTTGAAAAAATGCTGAGTTTCGCTTTTTTTTTAAGGAATTTTTTAGACACTTCTTGGAGTTGTTTTCTTGGTTGTTCCCTTGAATGTAATCATTCCACTAGGGAATGTAATACAAAACTAAATGTAGAGTTAAGTAATAAATAATATTATATTTCTAAGCTAGAAATAACTTTATAAAGAAAACAGGTTTAGCACATAAGCTAAGCTATTAAAATACCTTCAACTTGCTAATTTATCATCATTAATTACGACTTATTCAGATTACAATTTTATTACATTTTCTATACCATTCACACATTACACCTTACTGTAAAAGTAAACAACCTTTTCTCTCAGTGATCGAAATGATCATCATTTAAACTCGTTGTTTACCCATGTCAAGCCCAGTCGGACAACTATGGAATATTAAGTAAATATGGTAAATATGGACTGAGAAAACATAAATTCCTGGCGAAACATGTCAGCAGATCAGTCGGAGATCGGCGGAGCGGTTTCCTACCTCTACATTGCATTTCGCAATCCAATCAATCTGATGATAATCGCATTGTCCATGGATTGGGGTAAGCAAATATGGTAGGAAAAGGGTTCTCCTATCTTCGGCTCTCCGATCAATAATGTTCTCACGCTTCTTCGACACGCTTCTTTAGGGTAAATGGCTCCTACCTAGAGTTGCGGTGAATTGGTAGGGGCTAATTAATACAGGACCCCGAATCCGATACCCCTAGTAGGTCGATCCTCACCCAAACCCTCCTGCTGCTGCTTAGGGCTTTCCTATTGATCATCGGATTGTTTTTGCTCATTTCCTGGGCCACGGCACAATGGCAGAAGACTGGAATAATTAACAGCCGTAACCGATTCGGAATCACAAATGGCAAACAGTGAACAGTGAAAAGCAACAGCAACGGCGACCAGCAAATGGCAAATGGCAACCTCTCCCCTCTCCTAACCCCTCATACTTCTAAACACTTCCTACCGACTTCGACTGAATGAGCCGGGAAAACTTGAATGCATTCAGGCGGCCGCCATTCAGCGATCGTGATAAATAACTGAATTAATGTGACGGCCTTTGTACAATAAATTATTGAATTTACTGTTCGAGTCTCTGTAAAAAGTGCTAAAATTGCGCAAGTAATAAAAACATTAGCGATTCACAATCTGTAAAAACAAATCATTTGAATAATGCGGAACTCTCACCCATTTGCAAAATGTCAGCTGAAAGGAAAGATCAGCGATGAATCATGTTGATAAATCTCAATAGGAATGAGTTAATGGGAATCTTTATTGGTCTTCTTTTTTGCAGCAAATAACTGAATCATAGATAAAATTTTCTTTAAAAAATATGCCAGGAATTTCCGAAATTAGTCATCTATTCAAATTTAAAAATTATTAGTTGCCTGCTTAATATTTCAACACTTTGAAAACTATACATTTCTATGGCCTAATCAAAGAGATTATTTATAAATTTCGTTCAGTGCATAATCACTGGGACAAATGTAGGTCAGAATGTGTTTGAAACATTCCGGCAACGGCATTATCATCTCGACCCGCTCACGCCCAACAATCACATCGATTTTTATAAAGTGAGCTCCTGCACTTCAAATCCCGGTCCGAATCTGATGCATTGCGATTAGTGGACAGACGAGGCCTGGATTTTAGGGTCACCCTCCACCACCCATTCTCGATTAGATTGTGGAAGGCCCTCTGATTGCATCAGGTTTAACCCCCCTCCCGGATTTCACTTACCCGCGGAGCTGCCCACGATCAGTATGAGTCCGGCAATTAGCAATGCTCGTCTGGACATCTTTTTTGATATATATTTCCAAGATGTGGAGTGCACTCGCCGGCGATCGTTGGTTAAATAGGTATCCAAAAGTTGGGGATTTTGGCTTTTGTTCGACTCGAAAAACTGTGTCACACGGGGCCAATTGATTACTGGTGATCTTTTTGGGCTTTTCGAAAATTATTGCCGCGTAATTATGTTGACGTTTTAGTGTTCCAATTTCCGGCTAGCACAGTCAGCACTTTTATGTATATATATATATTCTTCTCTTTTCTTCGCTTTTTCAATTCTTCAACTTGCACACACAAGATAAATTGTTCTTTTTTCGATTTTTAAATTTTTATATTTTATATTTGGTAAATTCAAAATTCCGTTAAACGTGCGTACGGGCCAACAGCAAAACGGGAAATGGGCAGCGGCGTTTGGTTGTCAGGTTTTATGGGTGTCTTGTCTGCGTGTCAAAGAGAATGCCAAGAGAGACCAGCACTCCGAAAGAGAGTGCGCTAAGAGAGCGTTGATTATGTGGCGCGAAATAATTTTATTTAAAAACATTCCGCTTCGAAGGGGTTGTATTTATAGAAAGAAAGCATTTCCTGGCCATAATTTTGAATTAACGGATGTGGACTGTTGGCAGTGTGGATTGTGCTTAACACCCATAAAAACCACACAAAAATGTGTGGCAAAAAGGCTATGAACAAGCTCCAATTAACTTAAAATTAAGTTGCAAAATACAATTTCATTATGCCACATGCTCGGGCTAAATTCCAGCAATTTCAGAACAGCACATGTCTTTATTTTGCTCTCCACTCTTCTGCGCGCTGCTCCCAAAGACGCGTCTTCAAGTTGCAGTCCAAGATTCGCGGAAATTTATTTGCATCCCCCGGGGACAATTTGCTTGATGCAATTGCGCCATTTTCTCAGGGCTCCAATAAAGTCGGCCTGGGAAGCCGTGATTTCCCTGATTTCCAAGGGGTAATATCCCCCCAAGTGGCTCCATCACTTCTTATGCTGTTTGTCTTTCCTTTCCTTTCTTTTTTTCCTGTCTCCGACAATGATGACGCCTACATCGAGTGAGATACGTATACTTGGATACTTGCAACAGATGCAGATACGATTTATGAGTGCGACAGCGACCGCATTAAATGTAGATACATGCAACATTTGCACTGTACAAACAAACAAACAATTAAAATTAATCTACGAGCATAAAACAAAGTGCATTGCATTATGGATCTTGCACAGATAGATCTCTTTGAGGCTGTGTGTGCCCTGCACTGAGAGAAATTTGCCTGAAGATGTTTATTTTCTATGAGAAATATAAGATGGTTGCCAGAGTTGTGCTCAAAAAAGATCATAATAGATATGGTAAGTACGGTAAAGGGCTGAAATTCAATAAGTTTTCATTTTATACATCAACAATATTTTTCAATTTTGTTTAAAAAAATTCTTTCTCATTAGCATTAACTCCTTTTCATTTTATTATATGACAAATACCAGTTTAAGTCATTAACTTTACAAAATAAGAAGCGAATTATTTATAATGACATAAAAATAAATTTAAAAATTGGAGGGCATTTTATTTGTTACTTTTACCTTAACCTTGTAAGTTTAAGTACTTAAGTATACATTCTATATTTTTCTCTCAGTGTAACAATGGTGCGATGTTTGCGTTATCTTCTTCTCCTTTTTTTTTTTTGGGTGCCAAGTCTGTAAACATCCGCGAATTTAGAACAATTCCAAAGGGGGTTCAGATTCGGATTCTGTGGCCCAAGGAAAATGGAAGAGACTGGGGAGCGGGATTGAATGGGCGTGGATATTAATCAAATATTTATATTTACACACACACACCAGTGCCACAGGGCCATCACACTGGAATGCATTCGTAGAATTTCCGAGAATTCGTTTCTTTTGAAAACAAATTAATCAAACAACAAGGGCGACAACAACAAAGTTGAAAGCCAGCAGAAGACTGGAAGAATAAAATGCTGACAGCAGGGAAATCTAAGAGTTATGCTGGAAGCCGCTCGGAAAATTGAAATGTTCCACGAGTCGCGCAGACTCCTTTCATCGGCAGATTAAGAGAGCGTCATTTCACTCTCTTTGGCAGTTGGCAACGCGGGATATTGCAGTGAGTGAGAGTGGGATGGGTAGATTGCACCAACTGCAAGGGAATGCTGGAAAGTGGAATTGACCTAGGCTCTCGCCCTCTCTCTCTCTTTCCTTTCACACCAGCTCCTGCCTAGTGGGAAATTGGCATTTTGTAGTCCAGCAACTGCGACGCCTTTCCGCAATTTCCAATTTGGCACTCCTGCGACTGTGCAACATGAGTCATCTGCTCTCCTTCGCCGCCTTCGGTTGCTCTGATATTCCGATTGGGACTCGGATTCGGTTATTATGCTGCCTTCCTTCCTCTCTTCCTTTTCTTTCCCATTCAAAAGCACACAAATATACAGGGGAGCTTCGTTTATAGTTTTCTAGCTGAGCCTTCGATTTTTGCATTGTTATTATCAGTTCTTTTTTGCCCAAAAAACAATGTTAAATCAGTCGAAATTAAAGTCCTACTTACAATTATTAAGATGTGTAATAGGTTTCTTAACATCTATATTTTCTATCTATTTTGTTTCCTTGGAAATAGTTTAAATTTTTTAACCTAAAACCCTTTGTCGGTTCTCTTAATCCCATTAATCCTATAACAATATGTTCATTTCTTGATTCTGTCTATTCTGGATCACCAGTTTGAAACCGAAGCAAAAATTTTAAACTTCATAATATTCTTGAATATTCAAACATTATATTAGCTTTTTCCTTATTATTACGTAGCCAGTTTTACTTTATAGCACGTTATGTCTTACCTATTAATATTAACCTGTTTTAACTTTTATCTAACTTTATTAGTCGTTACAAGAAATCCAAACCTAATGTTCAATTATTACCAAAATATAATAAAATTCGTATTCATAAATCAGTTTCGATAACAATTATTATTCTTTGTTTTTCCACACACTTTAAATCTTCCTCTAATCGTGTTCATATACACATACCTTTATCCGACGTAACACTGTAGCTGAATATCCCTCCGTCGGTATTTGCAGGCGGACTTCTTACATCCAAGTCGCAGTTCTCGGCGAACAACAAAACGATAACGACAGCCCACGCAAAAGGCTAAAAACCGTCGAAAAGCCCTAGCGACAAAAACAAAGTTCAGTGTCTCGGCCGCCGTTTATCCTTAAAGTTGGCAGAAAGCGAACGGGTTCTGTAACCGCTGAATAAACCCAAAAATAAAAAAGCAGAGGTAAAAAGTACAGGAAAGTGAAAAGAATTCCAAGGAGTGGATATTGGCATACCTCTTAATCATAAACATAAACGACAGAAATGAGGCTTCTCTGGCTGCTGCTCCTTATCGCCTGCGGATCTGTCCAGTTCCCAGGTAAAAATCGTTCCACCTCTCACATCTTTTGCCGCATTTAAAGTTCCATTTTTAAAGAAGACAAATTTTGTTTGTAATCTTTATATAAAGTGGATTTTGATTCGGGAACATATATGAGTATATGCGGGTATCATTAAATGCAGGCCAAGACTATATACATATCTGGTATACTATATATCTGCGGAGAACAAAGAAATACTTGGTGCCTCTTATAACCCACTCATGCCAGCTAATTTGCATAATCTAGAGATTATAATCCTGGGGAAAACGTCTACGGCACTTGTGTTTGTGTATGAGTTGCAGGCGCTTAAGTAATCGATGGATTACATTGCACTTACCCCGTTTTTCCGCTGACCCAATAAGGCTGTCGACTATTAAATAAAAAACATATGCTACCGGGATTGCCTCATCATTTGAATTAATCACTAGACTCGTTAAATGGGATTTCTTTAAAAAGTGAAAGAACTCGAATGACTCACTGTGTGGCGAATGTGGAATTGCTTATCGAGTATTCGCAAATGTTCCTAAAGTTCTCCCGAAAATTAAATGATTCACAAATTTCCTCTGAGTGCGATACTGACTAGCTTGTCATTTTATTAATATTGATTAAATATGATATTGGGATTGGCTCATCAACACCAATATCAACTCGGTGCTTAGGTATTCACCGGAGGTTGCATTTTCGCCATCCCCACATGGTGCCGGCTCCAAACTCCATAAAACACTTGTCTGCCAACCAAAACTATCAAAGCAAGAGTGCTTCATAGGGTCGCCACTTTTATGGCAAAGTTTTCCTTAAAAGCTGGATGGGAGTGATGAAGTGGTGGCAAAGTGTGGAAGTGGGGCAGTGACAGGGGGAGGAAAATGTTGGCTGAAAGAACGTGTGTCATTCATTGAATCGACGACAATTTGGAAACCACTTGTAACCAGGGAATGTCTTCCCAATTCACGATGATGAGTATACACAGAGGGAAAAATATCATTTTATGTTAAGATCTAATATCTCAGACTTGTGATTTGAAAGTCTAGCTATGAGAAATAACAGAACCTAGCACTGACATCCATTATCCATTATGAACAGATATTCATTACATAAAGGGTTTTTAGCTTATCTTTAAAAATATTAAAAGTACGCTGTTCCACAGGAAATATTAATGAACCTACGTAAATATGTGCTTTTTGTGGTCAGTCATTCAAAACCTCAATTGTAAGAAAACGAAAAGTAAAATTTAAACTTCAAGGAACAACCCAGAATTTCGCGGATACATTTCCTAACAATGTATTTTTTTGTACTTCTAGAATTGGGCATTGCTATTTTTCGAGGAATTACCAGGAAATAGCCCTGCTTATTTTTAACCGGAACTTAAAGCAGCCTTCGTTGCTATCAAACATTCTTGGATTAAAAATGGGCATATATTGTGATGAAAATTAAATCCATATTTGTTACTTACTTTTTATACATAGCTTTTCTTTGCGTGTACGAGCATTGTAAACTGCTTCCAAATAGAGAAATTAGTGGAACAGTAAATGAAATGGGTGGCCGGGGTATGGTATAGGATGAGCACATTGTTAAAAATATCGTCATTATTAAAGTGGCTCTTGAATAATTAAGCAACTGGGAGTGGGTCCGGGGTTCTGTGGTATGTAGCTGATGAGCTGTCAAAGGGAAGAGAATGCGGCGAGGTAATTGCCGTATCATGCGTGCCTTCCAGTTTTATTTATCCGGATTATCGATATTAATAATGATACGGGGAGGACAACAGAAGCGTGGGATTTAATGGGTTGGTCACATGAGTTGACAGTTTGCCTTGAACGGACAGGCCTTTACTTTCTCTACAAATTTAAAGCACTTGACCCTGAAAGTTTTAATAGTTTATGTTCCCATGCCATTGTAACATCTACAATCTCTTCATTGTTAATAACGTTCTACAAATTACAGAAGTTCTGTTTAGTGTTTTTAAAGGTTCTACACAAAATGATATTAAAACGGTTAAAAAATAATTGTTTATAGATGAACTATATCCTTTTTTAAGTCTGAATGATATTTGAAAGGAAACAAAACATTTTTAACAATCATAAATTCTACTTTCAGTCTTATAATTTCCCTATATCTTGAATTCAAATGTTCTATCGTTTTCCCAAATGTTGTCTCACATTTTGTGGCATACTTTTAGGCTTCCCAAAATTCGAATGAACACCCATTGAGCGCCACAAGTAATAAATTCAACTTTCTCCATATTGTCTTTATGATTTAGGAAGATAAAACCATCCCCATTTCCCTCTGACCCAAATCGCGTTTGCGGGCAAACACTGGACAAGACAGTAACTACGCCAAGGCTAAGAAAGGTGTCCCGACTTGTCAGCCAATGTCTTTTCATTTTTCCTAACGAGAGTGTAAACAAAACTAATAACTTTGCCACACACACACACACACACACACCCCCAAAAACCCCGCACAAACATAAAGCCCACGAATTATATATGGCAAATTGGCAATTTTCACAGCCATTAAGCAATGCGCTAAACGTGCAAATGACGCAACCAGAAACCGATGTACCCACATCCTTGAGCCAAATCCGGATACATACCATGTCTATATATTCGCGGATATGGTGTGTTGCTTGCATATGTATGCTGAGTATTCCCGAAAAGCATTCCATTCCATTCCGTGACCTGACCTCCAACTGGAGTTCTAACCATCATATCACTCCAGAATGGGCGTTGACACGCTCCCTGGGAAAATTCATATACGTGTAAGAGGGGCTTGGCCCGGCGGCATATTCCTTATTCCGTTAATGGTTTTATGTTGCCTTCCGCGGACTTTGGGGCTTAGGCATGAAAACTATCACCAGACACGGAAATCTGGGCTGCCACCTTTTCGAGTGCTTTTCAATGTATACAGAGGGAAAAACTTAAAAGAACAGGAGTATATCAAAATAATTTACATACATATAATTGGTATCGAAAATAAAACTTGAATATTTTTTATTCACTAATCAAAAAGTTACAAAGATAACTCGTAAATACTGGGATTTTTGTTCAGTGTAGCAAAAGGTGCGCGTGCTTTGGGGCCCCTAACTAATTACAATTTATTCCAGGTGTGCTGACCTTGCCGGAGGCACTCCCAGGCAAATCTTTAGCAGCCGCTGGAGGAGGCAATGGAGGAGGATCCGGAGCAGGAACTGGGGGAGTTGCCACCGTTCCTACAACGGGAGACTCCAGCAAGGATTACGATTATGATGATGAAGACTCGCAACAACGAGCTCCAGGTAACCTGGCCAAGTCCACGGCAGCAACCAAAATTCCTGAGCCCTACTTCGACCAGACCGAAGTGAATATCTATGTGCCGAAAAACGCAACCAGTGTGAAGTTAGAATGTCCTGTCAAGAACTATAATGGTAAGTTCATAAATCCAACTTAACACTAAATATATTATTTTCTTTTCCATTTTTAAAGCTGATAAGCACGTGATACTCTGGTACAAGGAAAAGGTGATGGTAACCAGTGGAAACAACATAATCAATAATATTTATGGACTGGACAACAAGTTCACCCTGACCGTTCCCCTGGATTCCAATACCACGGAGAATCGGTACGAATGCTCAGTGGCCAATCATGCGAAACGCCAGGTGACCATTCACTTTGGACCAGAGCCAATCACCACCCCGGCTCCATCCGTAAACCCTGTCTCAGCTGTGACCTCCGCTCCTGCCAAGGACTCGGCGCCGCACGGACGAGACATTAGCCTCTGGCTGCTCGGCCTATTCCTGGCCCCTCTCCAATTGGCAGTGTCCTTTCGTTTCTGAAGCGGGCCAAGTTCAAGAGCCCACTAAAATCTGCACCACCGGCATTACGTTTGGGGATGCGCACCGCAACAGATGAGCTTGACATTGGGGTGCAGCCTTTGGACTATATCGATGGCTTGGCAAACTAAGTTAGGTGTTGCTTTGTTACTGTATTATATAGGAAACCGATTTCTTTGAGGAAGCTATCTTCCGAGAGCTATAGATTATTTGAATTTCACTTCCAACTCGGCTTCCTCTACTTCCAACATCGATGTTTTTAGACTCCTTAAAAGTAATATTGTTTGTGACGCTATCTATATAGGATCGAATTAGCCTAGTGATTGCTTTAGTCTTGCGCTTAACAAGTCGATAGATTAGTACGTAATTGATTTTAACTTAGCGGAACAAAATGCGATACCAAGTGGCTTAATGAATTTTTGTGAAGGGCAGTAAAGATTTATATATATGTATGTATGTATATGAACGGATTATGAATACATAAAAACAATGTATGCAATTGTGTCTGATGTAAAACTGAAATAAAATAGAGCTGCTATAGACCCAGCTGAATCCATTCAACGAAATCCACCCCTATATGTATAGCCAGGCCTTCAGGATTCCCTGACGTACTTTTTGGTCGTGGGAGGGGGAGGGGTGAAAAACCACGCGCGACAAGGACAACAAAGCGCTGAAGTCCTTACAGAACCTCAGTGCAGCTGCAACCCCGTGAAGAAGGAGGAGGAGGAATTCCGCAATGTGCGCAGAGCCTGGCAGCCATATGGTGGCTCCTAAGGGTGGTGCCAATGGTAGTGGTGGCACAAGCCTCAAGCGAGAAGTTTACTTTCCTGCTCAGTCGTCAACTGCTAAGCGACCAGGACACACATCTAGTCAGTGGCTTAAATCAGCGTAAGTCAATGTGGGTTCTCTTCGATAAGTTGGGTGAAGAAAACAATAGTCAACATATTTCATCCTTCAGATGATACCGCAAAGCGATAATCCTTCCTTAAACGAAGATACTTACGTGGAGGAATCCCAGTTCCCTGGGCCAGAGCATTGCGGCCAGAGCCGCTGTGGCCAGAGCCAAACAGCCTACGAAGTCTACCAAAGAATACTGCAGCGACTACAACCCCATCCACAAGAAAAGACCGCAAAAGCTAACGAAAACGAGCTGGAGAAGCAGATCTGGCTAGCCAGCTTTACGGGAAGGCCAATACAATATCGATATTAGTTAGATAACGCTTTCCAGTCGCAAAGCCTTTGTTAAAGATATAAAAATAAATAAACTAAAGTTGAACCTAATCCGTACAAGTAAAAAAAAACAAAAGATCAATGATTCTTTTATTTAAAAACCTTTATTGGTGTCTCCTTACTTTAAATATTTATTACTAAAGTTTAAACTACTCACCCATCGGTAAGGGCTGAAAAAAAGTTGTTTTCAATAATATTTGAAATATTTGATTTATGCAGAAACTTTTATTTGTTTATTCAATGTTCTTTCGTTTTTTTATTTATAAATTCATAATATTTATTAACTTAGTTTTAAACGCATTTTAATGTCTTGATCTCCAAAATGGTTTGTAATTTTCACTTGTTTTCTTATAATTCATCGAACAACATAATAATCATACCGTTTTAAAACGTTACTAATTTATTTGTTTGAGATAACTCTTGATTCTACTGCTATATGTAAAATAGATAAATATGTATTAAATATTGGTTATAAAATGGGGAATCGGGGTTATAGTTTTTATTAATTTCATTTTGTTTTATTTCATTTTAAAACATATCTTTCAGACTCATGAGAAATTACGAACTCAGAAAACCATAATCAAACACAATATTATATATTTGGCATATGGATCTTCTGCTGACATGGTCTAAAGAATAGCACGAAAATAGTTCTAGGATTTCGATTAGCCGAATGTTTATTTAATAATAGTAATAATTCATATTTGTGTGATTAATGACGCAAGTACGCATTTTTGTTAATGTTACTTGTTATTCATTCATAGCTTCATTTTAAATGCTGCTTTCTTCTTGCTTGTCCAAGAATGTTTAGGTTAGGTAAAGTGTATTCATAGTTCTTCCGGTATGTGATTTATTACATAAGCATCGCCATTGTATTGTTTTCATTTATTGCGGTGTGCGGGAAAAGGTACCGGCGCTCCGAACGGCGCAGCACGGTTGTATTATTTATATTTTTTGAGTATGGAATACGGATTTGGCTTATAGGGTGATTCGCGCATACGTTTCATGTCAGGTTGATATGGACGTTTATATGCCGCTCCGTTTGTAGATATTATTGATGGACGTGCTATAAAATTGTTTCATTATTATTTTTTATTATGTTATGCGAGTATATAAGACTTTTTTTGTTATTTAAAATTAAGAATATTATGCAGTTTTGCATTGAGAATTTTTTGTTCATTCACTTGTATTGGTATTGATACTACAATCTAACCCAAGGAACCCCATCCAAAGTGCATCCCATAAAACTGGGATTGTTTGTGTAAGCAATCTTATCTAATGATTGTGTAATATATCGACACTACGGCTGAAAGGAGCAGTTAAGTATGCATTGGTCTCAACTTACGTTTGCTGTACTCATAGCCTGTGGGTGGGCGCTTGGGAGGCATACGGTGCTCATACTCGTAGGCCACCTCCTCCACATCATCGACTCTATAAAGGATAACAATATTACTGAATGTTTCTTCGCACGTTGGCTAAGATTTAAGGTACTAATCAAATACGGGGAAGCTTGGATTCTTCATTCCTGGTGGGACCATTAAATAATAAAAAAAATTATACTTTACAAGTAACTTACTCGGGCGGATTTTCCGCAGCGCGTTTGATTAGATTTAAGTACTTAGGGGCTCCATTGCCGTTGCCTCCAAATTTCTTGTCAAAAACAGATCTGTAAAAAAAATAATTAGCCTTATATTCCCATGTAACCCCTGTATACTATATATGTACTAGCAAGAGACCTCTTACTTTTTGATTTAATTAGTTTTTTTTTTTATTTTATTTTTATCGAAGAAAAAGTATTTTTATAGCTTATGAAATGAGTCGGATGGGTATACAGAGGTTATATATAAGATTTACTTACCTGTAGGCTTCCAAATTGGGCCCGTGAATGTTCTTAGCCGACTCCGGATCCATTTCCATCAGCTCACGCAACTGTTCATGTGAAACCTCATCGTTCTTGTCTGGAATTAGATACTTACGGATCTCGGCCAAGGCATAGGCTATACGAGCATAGCACTCTGCCGGTGTGGCCACCGTGCTGACCTCCAAGAACAAGTCCTTCTGCAAATGAGCGAACCGCAGATCACCCGAATTACGTAACTCATCCTCCTTGTTCCTATCGCGGATCGAACTACGTCCCTTAATAGCAATCTTACACTGAGTCTCCTCTTGAAGGCGACGCAGCGAATTTCCCTTGGGCCCCAAAATCTTGCCAGTGAAGTTAAACTGTTAAGAAAGGGTAGGGATTGATAAGAAAGGCGAAGATGGAGAAAACTCTTATTGGAACCCACTTTGGGATACTGCTTAACCGGTACAAAGACCTTCTGAGTAATCTTCATTGGCTTTTGCTTATACACATCCGCGTAAAATTCCTTACCAGGAATACGGCCAGTACAGTAAACACGGTCCACAGCTGAAATAAACGGATTAAGTCCTGAGCTTTTCCAATTGCCAAATCGATTTTACCCTCATCGATTAGCAGAGCGCAGAGTGGGAATTCTGCAGCCAAGCGCTGGCGCTCCTCGTCCAAATCGGCCAAAAACTTTTGGGCCACCTCGTTCAGTCGCGGCTGGTGGTCATGGGTCACTGGCTTCTCAGTAAATTCAGTTGTCGGCTCCATTTTTATTTTGTCAAGATTGACGCACTTTTTCTCAACTAAAAACTCCAGTCTGAAAAACTGTATCTATAATAATGAACAAAATGGCTGTTGAAATGTCAACCCACGAAACACACGGTTGCTGAGATTTTCAATTCGATATGAATAAAAATTCGATTTGACTCAAAATCATCGAGTTAAAAATAAATTTTAAATTTGTTTCTTCAAATTACTTTTAAATTGTTTGAAGTAATTATAATTCGCTTAACGCTGAATAAAAATAAATCTAAATTCAAACCCAAAATTATCGTTCATATCGATAGTTACGGCGGGAGCTTGGTTGCGCTTCTCTAATGTTATGGTGTTTAATTTTTTAATATTTGCGATAAACAATGGCTAGCGAAGACATATTTGAGCATGAATTATCCGAAAAGCAAGATCTGGAGATGGAGCAGGTTATGGAGACGGATGCAGAGGAAGCATGTGAAACTGAGGAACCTTCAGAAGTTATAGAAGAAACACCAGAGAATCCTTCAACAGAGTCAGTCACAGAACGAGTTGATGATAAACCGGGTAAGTCATAGCAATAAACCCCACGGATTTTGCATTTATAAGGTTTAACCTGAGCAGTAACCAACGGTAACAAATCCTGTACGGATCACGAGACTAAGATGACACAACTTCCCTTGGCCAGGATACGAAACATAATGAAACTGGATCCGGATGTTCATATGGCAAACAATGAAGCTGTGTTCATAGTGGCTAAAGCGGTGGAATTATTCATTGCCTCGTTATCCCGGGAATCGTATACCTATACAGCACAGTCCAAGAAGAAGACTATTCAAAAAAGAGATGTGGAGATGGCCATATCGGCTGTGGACAGCCTGATGTTCCTAGATGGGGCCATGAATTTTTGATTACTCACCAGAGATGCCCCACAAATGAAACAAGATTCGTCGATTATTATTCTTTTCTTTATTTAAGGATATTTTTGCGGCAAACATATTCAGTTCTAATCGGTCTAATGATTTATTGTTAAAAATAATATTTAAGATAAAAACAATTGTTGGTTCGAAAGAAAACAAACAAAATAAACGGAAATCATTGTTATAAACGACAACGTTGAACGTTTCACAATACTCATTGCTCTTGGAAATTAATAACGAAGCCGGTAAATGGTTAATTTTTTTAACTGCTGCTCAGTGTTTGTTGTTAATTATTCGGTCCGCAGGCGATACTTACTTTGTCGTTGGGCATATATTTGTTTTTTTTTCTTTTGCTTTTATTTTTGGGTTTTATATTCATAATCTTATGAAACAATATTTCCAAAGCTTAGTCTAAACATTACGCATTGATTAATTTATTGTTTTTGGGTTTTTGTTTGTGTTTTGTTCTCATTTTTGTATTTGCTTTAACTAGCATTAATTTGTTTGAAGGTTTTGTTTACAATCATTTCGAGGATAAAACTTGTTGCATTGATGATCATTTCTTTTTTTTTAACACAATTCATATTCTGGACAACAATTTTAATACAAATTTAGGTTTTTTATTTGATTTTCGTTTAGATAGTATATTAATGGGTGTGCATATTCGGATTGTTGACTTTAAACATTGTTGATAATTTGTTTGAAATATATTTTATACTTTATGCTTAACTTTGTTTAGTTGTGGTTGTTGTTGGGGTTGGTTTCTTGGGAATTTGGTAAATCGATGGGTTAACGTATTTTCGGATATGGAGCCGAGCGATAACGCACGCTTTCACGAGATCGGGATCCAGTTTCGTAGTGAGCAGATGAATGCGATCCCGAGCCCGATGTGGTTGGTCGATATGACGATGATGAACGACCGTTGCTTGGTTTTGCTATTTTGGAAAGAATTTTATTTGTTGTTTAGATTTTTAATTGTTTCTGTCTCTGTGGTACTGTTTTTGGTTTTTGGTTTCTCATTTGCTTAACATATATACATTGTAAAAAAGAAAAATACATTGTTTAACCGGTTTTGAATGCACTACACCCTACGATAACTTTTTCTATTGGATAAAATGCATTTTCCACGTTTAAAAAAAAGGTTTCTCCCAAACGATTTAGTTTGCATTTTAGATATTTACGAACATTTATTGCGTTTTCTTGTCTGAGATATTATGGTTTTGTTTAAAAAGTGTGAATTTAAGTAATTTGATTGCTTAGTCGATTTTGTTTTTTTTTTTTTTCCTGTTTTATCTTGCTTCTTGTGAGTGTGTTAGTAGTCGTCCAATTAATGAAGATTATTTAATTGTCGCTGTTCGGTTTAGTTGATTTCGCCTGTTCAGGCATAGTGCATTTAAAATCTTGTTAAAATGGGATGGGTTTCCGTTTATCATAATTTTAGTTCGCGGTTTTGTGGCGTTTTCTGTTTTTTTTTTTCGTTTTCAATTTTCGTCGCTTAGTTGGATATTTTTAGTTTTGCTTTTGAGTTTTTTTTCTTTTTTTTGCGCGATTTTAGTTTAAACGTTGCTATTTGTCTTATTCTTTTTCTTTTTTTATGTTGTTTCTTTTTACATGCCTGCTGAGGGAAGAGATTAATAGGTCTAGATAGCTAGAATAGCTTACCTGGATAGGCCGCCGCGTAGGAAGAGGAGGACGAGTGGGGGTGATACTCACGCCGGTAGTCGCGCTCGTAGGAGCTGCTGTCATACTGGGCGTGGTGGGTCGAGTGCTTCGATGTCTGGGGTGGAGGTGTGGCGTAGCGATCGTATTCTCCGTGGTGATCGTAAAGCTCATGGTCCCGTGATCTACTGAAAATATAATATAATCAAGAACTGGTCTCTAATTTGTACTAATATTGCAAATTAATAAAGTGCAATTTTTAAAAAAGTAATTTAAACTAGTCGTGGTCTTATAATGACCAGCCTTTAAATATTATTGGGCAATTTTAAACAAACTTATCTAGACCGAAACAATGGGAACTACACGACTTGATAAACTTATTTAAAACATATTTTCCAATTTTAACACCACCTTAAAAAGGCAATAAAATACGAACTCTTAAAGAGTTTTAGTTTTGACTTTTAAAAGAATTAATAACTAAATTGAACTTATCCAACCTATGCGTTTTGACGATGCCATAGTTGGGATCGTCCATCACATATCGAGCCTTCTCCAGAATTGAATAAACTTTGGGCTTTGAAGAAGCAGGGGGAGGAGTGCTGTGACGATAAAAAAACCTCATTAAAAAATTAAAATGAAAGGTATACGAAATAGCCTACCGAGAACTGTAGGCGCCATGGTCGCCATACGACTTAGAATAGTGGTGAGACTTCTTGTACATCCGGTCCTTGCCGTCCATCTCACGCAGTTGCTCTAACCGAATGTCGTCGTTGGCATCGGGTATCATAAACTTGCGGATCTCGCCCAGCGCATAACTGATCCTGTGATAGGCCTCTGCCGGTGGTGCCACCGTGGATATTTCCACGTGTAAGTCCCGGCCTAGATGGGCGTACTTTGGATTTCCGGAGCTGCGTAGCTCCTCCTCCTTGCCATGGTCTCGCATCGAGTTGCGTCCCATCACCACCATCTTGCACATGGTTTCCTCTTGCAGCTGGCGCAATGTGTTGCCCTTAGGGCCCAAGATTTTGCCAACGAAGTTAAACTTGGGGTACTCCTTAATGGGGAATAGGACTTTCTGGGCCACGCGAATTGGTTTTTCGCTGTACACGTTAGCATAAATTTCGGGCTTGGGTATGCGGCCACTAACTAAGATCTTCTCCACCTCTGTTGGAACGTTAAAATTCAATTAGATGCGGCTAAGTAGGTCTTACGTGTCCAAGGGCCAAACTTACCGTCATCAAGCAGCCGCTTAGTAATGATGTGCATCTTCTCTAGCGTCTTCTTCTCCAGCAGGCACTCCTGTAGGTATGCGTTCGTCTTCTCGTTTAGCTGGGGCGTGTCCCGAAGCGTAGCATGGCTGGTGGTGTGTCCGCCGCCATCCGCCTCCGGAGTCTCCGGTGCACCGGTCGCCGTTGGTTCCTCGTCGCGTCGTTTTCGCTTGTAGTCCGCTGCGTCCTCGTTGTAATCCCTGTCATAGTCGCGCGGCATTCCGGATTTGTTATTTTTAGCCTGAAGTATGTGCAAGTTCTAAAACCACCGATAATAGAAAAACAAATTCTACTCTTGCAGAATTAGTTAGCTGAAAAAATATGTATGTGGTAGCACCGATTCGATAGCACGACTATAGTGATGGGGCGAATTATCGATTACATATGTGAAGCCAGCGAAAAATAGTTTAAACTTAATAAATGTAAAATGCTATTGTTATTTTGGAACAATTTTGTTTTGCTTTTATTTTGTGTATTTGTTTTGTATTACATTTTAACAGATTTAAAAATATAAAAATTTATCATAGAACTTCATATATGTTCAAGAACATTTATACACGTTAAAATTAGGATTTATTAATTATTAACTTAGTATGCCTTTTTTCTGTTAAATTATATTTGCTATTAAATGAAAAATAATTTCTTTACTTTACACAAACATCATATTTCACAGAAAAGTCAGCAAATTTACTTTTTGAGAAAAACAGCATTCCCCGTTTACAATGCTGTTGGTTTGCTTAAAATTAACCCAGCGTCATAGCCATTGGGAAAGTATTCTCAAAAAAGTCAATATATGTTACCATAATTCTCAAATATCGAAGGCAGAACAGCATTACTATTTTATTTACTTCAAGAGTTGCGCGAATAAACAGTTGTTTTAAAAACCTGTTACCCAAAGGTAGCTTTCAAAAATTGTAATACTATTATTTATTTATTAAAAAGAAATTACTTCGAATGATTTTTCAGTTATAGGGCAAAACTAAACAAATTATAGTCTTTGTTTTTCAAAATGGAAATGTATTTTAAGTTACTTCCTAAAATTAATTCCTTAAAACAATTTCCCTAATCTTCATAACATTTGTAAGAACGTAATCACCATTGGATCAATAAGTGAAAGTTGCGAACAATGCAAACTTTTCCTTTCCCCCATATGTAATCATTTTTCCCAACATTTGACCATAGAGCTGATTTCTTAAAGGTTCTTCAATACAAAATTCATCCGGGTTGTTACTTAAATAGATGTGTGAACAATTGTAGGGGTAACCGAATCAAGATCATCAAGTTTTGAGCTCAAATAGGTAAATGGTGGCTTGAACTCGGCTAAAAACTGGTCCTTTTCTTTGGCAAGCATACATATAGGCTTCATTCCGTCTGCAAAAAGGGGAATTCAGTGATTTCAGTAGCCAAATGTATACAATAAACTTAGAACCTGGACCCCTGACTTTTCGATCAAGTTTTAAAAATGCAATTTTATTGCCTCCGTTCCGAAACTCAGACATAACTCTGTATGATTGAAATGAATTTCTTGTGCCCATCACACACACTTCTCTGTGTATTTTATTTTAATATGTTAATTTAATAAGCATTAATTTGAAACATATTTAGACTACTTACATGGACAACAAATTTGTTTGGCAGATATTATGAGAAATTCTGGAAATAAGTCACCAAATTTTTAATTAGTCGTATTTTGAATTCCCATAAGGAATGTTAAAACAAAATAGATACTTACGGTTTGTGATTAGCACACCCTGCCCCTTGAAATTAGGTGCATAAATTTGTAGCTTCTAAGTTCGATGATATGGTATTGCCACCGCAATCTGTGTACAACCACGGATCTTCATCCTTATGAGACCGTAGGGGTTCTTGAGGTGGATACCCAACCGCAGTATCATGGTTTTTAATGGTAGCATACTCCAGTCGAGTATGTTACAGGTAGAAGAAAGTGCTTCCAAAAGAATATAAGTTCTTGATCAGGATCAATAGACAAGTTGAATAAACCACGTCTGTTTGTCCCGCCCGCCTTTTCGTCTGTCTGTATGAACGCTGAGTTCCCACTATAAGAGATAGAGTGTTGGGATTATACATACATGCAGATTTCTGAGATGCCTACGCTGCGAAAGCTTTTTCTGTAAAAGTTTTCTGTCTACGTTAGTTTTAAGCATATGTACATTTTCTTGACATTGTAAAGCAGATAAAGGTGTTTTCTTCATCCTTCCCCGACCACTCATGAAATGGTTTACCTTGTATAATATAGTATTATCAATTTATTTAACAAAAATATTTGACATCTGAATATTATGAGGCCTCACATGATCACAGACTTTACCGTCAAATACTGAAAATGCTTATTGTGGTTTTGGAAATAGGTGGCTCTAGTAAAATTGTTTATGCTAGAAAAATTCCTGTTTTTATTGGTTAACGCAAAAATGTGTAAAACATTCGGTGCACTTGACTATATCTTGTTGGTTTTAAGATCACAAATCTACTCTTTATTTATGTTCAAGCAAAAACTTACTTTGGTGAATATAATATATACAAAGAATTCGTTCCTAATCTGCAATTAGGAAGCTATTTATGCCATGTATGTGGACCGTTTGCAATATAATATAATGGACGCCACAGTTTTCCGGATTAGGGGCGTTAAAGTAGGCGTGGCACGGTGCTTGCGCTGCGTAGGGACCTCAAGAATCTTCATGCCTAATCGCAACTTTGTATCTCTTATAGTTGCTGAGATCTCAGCGTTCATACGGACAGACGGACGGATGGACGGACAGACGGACGGACATGACTTAATGATACTAATCAATAATATATATACTCTTTAGGGTCGGAAACGCATCTTTCCACCTGTTACATACATTTCAAAGAATCTAATATTCCTGTCGCGGAACGGATTTGGGCTATCGGTAGTTTAAATTTAGCGCCGCTAGAGATCGGTATTTTTGTGTGAGAATTTGAGGTTCGTGTTATTTGGTGACTCTAAACGGGGCAATGACGAGCTTAAATTTGGGCGCGCCTAATCACACGGATTTGCGCTATTATAATGAGGAAATAAAACATATCACATTACATCGCACCACACACAATGTTGTCATTGAGTGTTAGGAAAGCATTCCCCGTGATCGCCCAAGCGGCGTCAATACCCTTTTACTCGACGAGTGATGGGTATAATTTTTTAAGAAGTTAATAAGAAAAAATATACCTATGTATATATAAAGCTACTAAGTACGGATTTCCCAAATCTTAGCAAAAAGTTAATAGGGCTTTGGTAAATCAAGCTTAGTGTACTCTTGCAGGTTAATTGCATTTTCTTAAATTCTTAGAAAATAAGTAAATATACAAATGTATGTACTTGCTTATCTGCTAAAATATATCGAGGGTTACAGATAGCTCCTAATTGCAGTTAAATCGCATTTCCAATGATTAGAAATTCCTATGGCATCTCCGGTTAGACCTATCGAGTATAACTGATACATCGATAACGATGGGCTAATAACACGACCGATTGGCATTTAACAGCACGCTACAGAAGCACGAGAGCCAACCCAAGAGAGTTGCCGGACCGCGCCGCTAACATAGTAAATGTACGAATAAAATACACACTTGGAAAAAGAGAGAAAAATTAGGGCCATTGGGAAGGCTAAAGTGTGCACTCTTGGCAATCAAAGCGTATCTACAGTAAAAGCAATCCCCCGCATTCGCGTACGGAAAACCTAAGATTAGGTGACTTAGAAGGACGACAGCGATAGCGATCCCAAAGGCAGGACAAATGGCGGAGAACGGACTGCGCTTGCCAGGGTCATCCACGGTGGCTTCAACTACAGCAGTAACCGGCGGGGGATCAGGAACCGCAGCGACGTCCGGAACTGGAGTGGTGGCCTCCAGTAGCAGCGGAGGAACCAGTAACGGGGAGCACGAGAACGAACACAACGCAAATGCGGACAGCGAGAAGGCTCAGCCAGCGCCGGCGGTCCAAAAGTACATGCAGGAACTCATGACGGAGCGGTCGCGCATGGAAAATCACTTCCCCCTGGCGGTGAAGCTGATTGACGAAGGTAATTGATTTGTCCCGGTCCCTTAATGGCTAATACTATGATTTTCTCTTGCTTTTGCAGCTCTTGAACGAGTGCAGCTAAACGGGCGTATCCCCACGAGAGATCAGTATGCCGATGTTTATCAGCAACGCACCATAAAGCTATCGCAAAAGGTGCATGTGCCTATCAAGGACAAGAAATTCAACTATGTGGGAAAGCTACTAGGACCCAAAGGAAACTCGCTGCGCCGCCTACAGGAAGAGACGCAGTGCAAGATCGTAATACTTGGCCGTTTCTCAATGAAAGACCGCGCCCGAGAGGAGGAGCTGCGCAACTCCGCGGACGCCAAGTACGCTCACCTGAATCTTCCACTTCACGTTGAGGTGTCCACAATTGCTCCGCCCGCTGAGGCGTACGCTCGTGTAGCCTACGCACTGGCCGAGATCCGTCGCTATCTCACGCCAGATAAACACGATGACATCCGCCAGGAGCAGTACCGCGAGCTCATGGAAGATCCAGAGGCGGCAAAAAAGCTGACTCTTCGCCAGTTACAGCAGCAGTCGAATGTAGCAGCAGGTGGTGGGGGAGGTGGAGGTGGAAACGGAAACGGTGGACCCGCTGGATCCGGAAGCAACAATGGCAACGGAAACCAACGTTCCGGCGGTAACTACAGGTTAGTTTAAATACAATGACCTATATCAGCTAAGCTAACTGTCAAATTCCTCGATAGACAAAAGTTTCAGCAACAATCACACTATCGCCACAACGAGGAGACTGTCTACTTTCGCTCACACAACAATGCGTACCACCAGCCAAAACCCTATGTGCCAGGTAAGTCTAAATGCTTCAATCTTCCTAGATACTATCTTTACTTTTGTAGCCGCCCAGCGGGGCAATGCCATGCATACCACCTTGCCGCCACAGGGGATTGTTCGAGCTTCACCACCCGGTATGGTCGTCAGTGCGGCCAGCTTCAATGGTCGAAATGCCGGACTGGGTAACGCCGGCGGGGGTGGGATCATGGCCAATAGCATCGTGGCCACCACTGGCGGTGGCATCGGCGGTGCTGTGCCGCCCAACATGCGCTACCGTCCCGCTGCCCCATTCCAGTTTGTCAAGAAATAATACAGATGGGAGGATGCACCACCCTCTGCCGTTCGCTGTTTGTTCAACTATTTCTCACCATCATTGATGCCTCATCCGGAAGTATTTACGCCCATCTGTCATGCCCATCCCAACACCCACACACAGCTCCAAAGGTAGATGTAGTAACTATGAGAACATTGGAAACTTGTCATGCATTGATTTCACCAAGATTTCGGCAGGGTGGAAACCAAGGCGAAACTAATGAGTAAATGTATGTTTAAGAAAACTAGCCTAAGTAGTCGAATGCTCCGAGGAACAGACGAACACCTCAACCACCAAACCAAACCAACTAACCGACCAGATAAAGACCCACCACCCCACACGCACGCAAGCCCTCTTTTAGGATTGGGATTGACGGATCACGAGGGTCTGTCTGAGACTTTGGATTCGTTTGTTGGGCCCTGCGAGCATTTGGAAAAGGAAAATTGAAGAAGGTAATAGGAGATAGGAGGTAAAAAACGCCTCGATGTTGGATTGGGCCGAATCGAATGGACGTATTCAGGGATGATCCCAGTCGAGCCAGATCCCCTTGTTTTGTTTTGTCGCATATTATATACATTTTTATTTTATCACTGACGCATGCGAAGATTTCATCAAATTCTAATTTATATTAATGAATATATATCTCCTTTATGTTTACACTTATACGTATCCTCCCTGCAGTCGCTTAATCCTAATGCTTTTCCAACTCTGCGTTTAAGTTTATCCTATTTTTTGTTTAATGCATTTTTAATTACGTTTACGTTTAGAAGAGGAGGCTTTTTATTTTTATTTGTTACGTCGCCAGGACAAAAAAACCAACTGCAAATTATCATGAATAATATATAACAAGTATAGACAAGCGGTATGATTTATTACACATAGTGCATATGAAACACCACACGATCACAAGCGCGTACGTATATTCACAGCATCAGCATATTCACGTAAAACCTTAAAGTTTAAACCAAATGAACATTATAAACGCAAACGCGAATCTACAAGAGATCGGCGCAGAAGCCCGATGACGCCTACGACAATGCAACGGACATAGCAAGCCACATCCGATCAGAGAAAAATAAGCAAACACATGCATACATACATACATAATTGTTATTGTTGTTGAAAGCAACTAAAATTGTAATAGAAATTACGCAAATATACATACGAATATGACGACAAATGTTAATTGCAGCCTAGTTATTATTTTGTTCATTCATACCCACTCCCATAAGCACACTGGAACGAAACATAAGAAATGGTCGTATATATATAGGGCGTGAAGCCTACAGATCAGCATGGGCAATGTGCTCGACTTCGTTGACGTTGCTTCTAAAGCCACAAACTACACGAAAGCTAAACAAAATCCAATTTTTATTGATTTCGAACATTGAAAACATTGTAAACCCCACACACATCTATGTGAAAGTACGAAACTATATATTTTACAGTGCATTATTATGTATTGCTGATTATCGTTAAATAAATTTTCAATTTGAATTTGCCAGTCCAATTATTACATCTCCCAAGGTAGGGCAGATATCCAAGTTTTAACAACGCATTTAAGAAATTATTTAACTTTATTGACTAACAAAAATAGGATAATCAAACTCTACAATGCCCTCACAAGCTGCATTAGCGAATAGGGATTTTTGTTGCTCATGAACTTTAGCTGTTCCTCGAACCCCTCCGGTGTCTTGTTGATCCAGTGGCGGTCGAGGTAGTAGTTGATGTAGCTGTGGAACTCTTTGTCCGTGTAGTTCTCTACGTGGATGGGCACGAAAGGATCCAAGTGCTCAAAGCCCTCCTGGCCAAGTAAATAGCGGGGCAAATATGACTCCATGTGTCCTTCGGTCATTGCAATCTTGTCCACAGACAGTATGCACACTCCGTTCGTCCAGTCGTAGTTGGTGATGTCCAGGAAGGGCTGCGTAAGTGTGATTCGATCTGGAGTTACGCGCTGTTTGTTGTCAGAGAAAATGCGGGTAACTGGATGAAAGAAGGCATTGAAGCCGTCGATTGCCACCATCACTTTGCATTTTCCGGCAGTGGAAAGTTGTTTTAGTTCATTAATCAGTGCCGCCGTTGTCTCCGAGGCGTACTTGATTCGTGCTATTCCGTGCTCCACCAGCTCAGTAAGAGTGGAGCCCGATGGCGTGCTCTCGCGCTTACTCCACACGTACTCTTTGCTGGTTTTTAGATCCAGCTGCTGTAGCAGCTTGCCGTTCTGGGTTTTAAAGTGCACTAACCAGGCGGCTGCGTCAAAGGGCAGGTCAATCATGCCCTCTTGGCCTGCTGCATTGGACGCCTCCTTGGGCCGCTTCATCCAGTTTGGTGCCCAGGGCACGTGAACCAGCAGGAAGTCGTTGAGGGCTCCATAGTGCAGCACATGGGCCATAGTCAACGTTTTGCCTGATCCGTTTTCTCCGTACAGCACATAGCGTACTACCGGTTTGGTTAAGTCGCTGTGTTTGATGTACTGCAACAATTCCAGGGCAGGATTTCTGACCATCAAACAAGCTTCTGTGAAGGTCTTGATTTGTTGCTCGTACTGTTTTGGCAGACCACCACCAGCGAAGATCTGCTTCTTCTGATCCGCAGGAATGGTGTAGAACTTGGCCACCTGCAGTTCAGAGTGTTCGCCGGGATTTGTGACCGCCGTCCTGAACTCATTGATGGCCGACCCCTCTACTGCCGCGTTCGTGGCCAACTGCTGGACATAACGCTGCAATTGCACGGACACGCGCGACAAGTTGCCAATGCGATTTCGGATCATTTTCATTGAGAAACCTCGAATACTTGTTAAATAAGACCTGGAAACTAGCAGACTGGTGTCTATCGACACACAGAGGCTATCGATAACTCAATAGTAGTGGCAAAACATGGCGCGTTAGCTAAATATTATCGATCTAAATATCTGTATACGAATTATTTCAACCTTTTTTAATGCTTAAAAACTAATTTCGTCACTTACTTGTTATAGAATTGTTAAGAATTATTCCAGCTGTTAACGCTTGATTAACAATTAGAACCTACAAGCTTATAGCCACCATAAATGTTTCTTGTCTGTCCTGTTTTTTCAATCTCATAAGACGCATATAAATCTTTAATTTCTTAAGGAATTTAAAAAAACAATAACCATTTAGAATGGCTTAGTTAATATTTACTAATATACACCATAAATACCTTACAACAAGACAGATCAATTTATATTTGTTACTTGAAAAAAATGCGTTATAAAAACAAGAACTTTTTAATTATTTAAAAACCGTCAGAAATATTTTAATATAGCTATCTATATTTTTTATAAATTGAGAATACTGAGAAATCTTATCTCCAGGTTAGTCAGTGCTTACGCTTTACTGATCCATATCGAGGCTTAGATATCCCCTTTAACTCTGTCGAATTAACTTGTTCAGCTCGTCCCTCTTAGTGCGTTTAAAAATCCAAGGTAAAAAATGAAATACAATTTAAGTTAAATTTAAAACTTATAAAAAACTGACTCCTTCAATACGAACCTTGTGAAGGGCATAAGTTATGACACAAAGAATTACGAGCCCACTTATTAGGGAACAAATTAATTACTCGAAGGGCAGATCAGATTTTTTTTTCGATGAATCGCCAAACTGTTCGATTTGAACAGATTATCATAGACAAGTTCTGCTTCGGGCAATATGACAAAGTATTTGCCAGGGTTCTTTTCTTCAGTTAGAACGACTTTTAAGCTTATGCTCAGGCTAATTGGTTTGTCAGGCCTGAATTGGACGCTCATTTCGGCCTTGGCGCAGATCGTCATATTGTTATTCTTGGCATTGGAGATCTTTTAATTATAGATGTTCGTAATATTAATATTAATTTAATCATGTACAGGCCATATTTTAATATTAGTCGAGCTGAAAGCTTTAGCTGCTATTGCTCCTAACCATTTATTAGCTATTAGTTTTAACTAATTGTTTCTCATAATTTCCTCATATTCGTAGACATGAGGTTCGAGCTCGTAACGCTTGAGGCGCTCATAGTACTGGCCAAAGGTAAATCCTTCCATCTGGTAGGTCTAGAAAAACCTGTAATTCCATGGACCGAGGTACCTTAAGGCCTTAAGGCTGGTGATTTTAATAAAATATCTATTAAATATTCTTTGTTTGATATAATTTAGCTTTATCAGAATCAGGAAACTATATATATTTGTATGTAAGAAACGCACTTAAACTAAAAAATTCTTGACGCAGCGCCAAGTGGCTAAGGGAATGTCCAAGCACTGACAGCTAAAAGGATGTTCGTACATAAGAGAGAGAGGAAACGCGCAAGGATTCGCAGCTATAAAGTGACATGTAATAGCCAACGCTGATAAATGACCACGAGCCGATGCCAGATCGATTCTCATGGCGATGATGTACGAGCCAAATCGAGGAACATTTCAAGTGTGAAAACCATATGACAGCCGTAATCAAGGCGTTGATGGCAGAACTAACCTTTATCGCATTCTACTCATATTGATTTCAAGCTGAAGGGCTGCAGGAAATAAGCAAAAATATCTGGCGGAAATTTTGAGCGAAAAGGGGTGGATGTTTCCAGCCGAGATGGAGTTGACTGATTGGTTAACACATGTCACAGGGCCATAATTGCAAGGGGGCAAAATAGAGGAGAGAACTGAGCTGCTAGCTAGAATCCAAGCAAAATGAATGACAATTGTTTTGACACGCATGTTTTGACATACAGAAAGAGACAACGATAGGGACAGGAAGCTGACACGGCATTAAACACAATATGCGAGCGAGAGAGAGCGTTCAACGGGCCTGCTGTTTCACATATAGAGATAGATATATGGAATACGCTTGCAACACAACTTAATTGAATTTTTAAGACCAATTCCGAGGAAGATTTATGTGAAAATCGTTTTATTGCACATCCTTTTCGTTTAGCTTTTTGACAAGCATTTTTATTAGGCCACAGCCTCAGGTAAAAAAACAAATGTTAGTACAAAAAAAATATTTATAAAGTATTTAAAGTCTATTCGAATGGAAATATTCTATTCTTTAAATGCTTAAAAGGTTTAAAGCTAAACCCTAAACTGCTAAATACGCATTATTTGTGGTAAAGCGAGAAGAAACATTTTTGAAATTGGGTTTGACATCTGGATGCCTTTCTGTCCGTCTTGTGGCTTTTTGGCTAACCAGGGGCAGTCAACGATGATGACACCGCAGCCACACCTACTGTAATTTTTCTGGCAACGATGGATGCCTTTACTGCTAATTTTGCATCTCATTAAGCACGGCAATCAATAGATAAAAAAAAAAGAAGTTGGGAATCGTAGGTGCCGCGTATTTGCCAGCTGGAAATATTAATAAAGTGCCGCAGGATTGTTCGATAGTACTGGGTCGGTGGTTCTTAATCTCGTAACTGCTCATGATTATAACGGAGTTGTTGTCTTCTTTCAAATCGATTAGATTGTTAGCCCCGACTAACTACAAATAAATAATTGATTTGAATAAGATTTAAGCACGTTTTCATAATTTACGACTTTTTACCCGTTGATATCGATCTCGGCAAACTCTATCAGGTCAATTATGTCAGTATGCTTATTGTCCAGGGGATTTTCCTCATTTCCCGCACTAAATACAGCTGCTTAGATGGTCAATGAGTGTCCCCTGAGTTGGGTCACATTTGAGCTGATGGTGATGGAGTCGCTTTTTCCATTGGCCAGTGGCTCTTTGTGGTTTAGTTCGCACAACATATGCGATTCGACGACCTTGCAATTTCCAGGAATCTGAGTGAATGGCAGGTGGAAAGAGCTGGTTAAGTCCGAGCTGTCCGTTAAGCCCAAAATGAAAGTGGAACTAAAATGAAATTAATTATGTACCTGTAAACTACATGGACTATAAAGCTTACTCAATATCCTTGCTCTTAAACTGGAGATCAGCGATGCAAGCATCAGTGGCACAGCCCGTGGAGACGCCTATGTTTTCGATGTAGTTCTTTGGTTCCGCGGGATCAACAATCACGCAAGTTTCGCAGAACTCTATTCCATAACCAACTAATTATTTATTGATAATTAAAAAAAAAATTTTTTTAAGCTTACCTCCCGACACGGGTATCTTCTTTGTCAGCTCGTAGAAGATGGATGGGTTGGAATATGGCCTTTATGTACAGCTTAATCTCGAAATCCCGGCACTGCTCTACAGGACCCGCATACTGCAATAGATATATCTAGTTGAATTGAATTTAATTATATATGTATGTATATGTGTGTTTGTTTATTTTATTCCGAAATTTGTTCAAATAATATTTATTAAGAAATTGTTATCACCGTCAGGTGAGAGATAAGTATTATTCTAATAATAATAATGGTTGCAGATGCAATTTTGTATTGAAATTGGTTAAGATAGTCAAGAGAGAGAATTTTTCCACTGGTAGCATATTTATATTGATATTGGTTAAGAGTGTAAAGGGTATCTGGTACTTCTACTCAATAAGAGTAGCATTTGAAAGGGTAAAAATATATATTTTGTATATTATATTATTATTTTTCATGAAACGCTAGAAAAAACAATTCAAAGACGATTTAATAAGGATTTAATCAGACTTATAATTAGAAATATGAAAATTATAAAAGGCTTTAAGAGAAATAGAAGTTATGTATTCCCCTAACTAATTTAATTTGAAATAGCAACCAATCGATATTTTTCGATAACTTTCATTTTGCTCTGCTGCATCCCTGGTTGCAGACTGGCGCCTTTGGTGAAATTATAAACAATAGAAGTTGTTGGGTCAACCTATGTTGCATTTCTATCATGTCATCCATTGACAAGTTGTCTATCCAGGGAGTTCGCAGTTTCGGGTCCAATGCAGAGGATCTCCAAGTAAGTGCAGCCGTCCAATAGAACAATAGTTTAAAACTCGGCAATCCGCAGAGCATTAAGTTTTCATCACCGGTGACTCTGATTCTGGGTGAGAATGGTTGCGGCAAGACAACTATAATAGAGTGCCTAAAGTACGCTCTAACCGGTGAATGTCCGCCGGGAAGCGACCGTGGTAAAAGTTTTGTCCACGACCCCAAGATTTTCGGACTAAATGAATCCCTGGCTCAGATTAAGATGCAAGTGCGTGACAAACGGGGCGCCCAGGTGTCCATTTGCCGCACTATGAAGGTGTCCAACAAGCGCAACAAGGTGTCATTCGAGACAATGGACTCTACCATCAACTTCTTGACCGGATCCGGCCAATCAAAGCGCGAGAATCCAGACTCTCTGAGCGGTCGTACAGTGGACATCGATTTGGCAATCTCGGACTTCATGGGTGTATCGAAGGCTATCATTAACAATGTCCTATTTTGCCATCAAGAGGACTCAAGTTGGCCGCTTGACGAGGCAAAGAAGTTGAAGGAGAAGTTCGATGCTATATTTGGTATCACCGAGTACAATAAAGCTTTGGATAAAATCATAAAACTCCGCAAGGAAGCAGTGGAGGAGCTTAAAGTAATGGGTAAGTTATCCACAGCTCAAGAAATAAAACCTTTAACAATTCCCCTTACACAGATGCCAACATGAAGCATGTAGCCTATCTCAAAGATGAAATGGAGGTGAAAACTTTAAGCTTGCAGAAAGCCCAACAAAAATGCGACGCCATTAAGGATCAGTGCAACGAATGTGAGGTGGAAATGAAACCGATTGAGGCAAGGTTGTCGGAAATCCGGAACGTAGAGTTTGAAATTGGAAAGTATCAGGCTCAGAAGGTGGAAATGGACACGAAGTAAGTGAAACTAGACATTTTTACCTACAAAGAATTATTACTTTTTACTCATCCAGACACAAAAACTGCAAGGAACAGATCTCCATCCTAACTCGGAAGATAAAGAGTCCCTTTGAAGGTTCTCTGGTAGATTTGGAACTAGAGATTAAAAACTTTGACCTACGCATGTCAGAGATGCGTCAACATCGCACAGAAACGGAGTATAACTTATCTCAGTTAAAAAAACTTAGTGCAACTGAACAAGAAAAGTTGGGCACGCAGGAGAAAAAGCATTGCTTGGCGAAACAAAGGCACCAAAGCGAGCAGTCTTGCCGGGCCCAGCTTCTAAAGCGAGTGAAGGACTTTTGTCGAGAACTGCAGATTCCCATCGATGGAGATCTTGTTGAGCAGCCCGCAAATCTGGAAGAAGTATTGCAGGACATCGAGGCTATGATACTGAGCAAGCACTGTGAAATCACAGAGATCGTTGAGCAAAACGACAAGGCTGATCGGGGTAGGCAGGTCAAGATCGACGAGTTGCGCATCGATTTGACCAAGTCGGAACAAAGCGTGACAGCTCAAGAGAAGCAAAGGGAGTCTAGCAAACGAGAGAGTGACACTCTTGGGGTGGAAATACAAAAAATTGAAACATCCATGCAAGAACTGAAGAAATTGGATAAGGAAATTGCCAATGTGAGTGAGCTATACGAGAGCGCTTCAAAAGATTTCAATCAGCAGGCAATAAAAGAGGTTATTGCCACTAAGAATGCCAGCATTGCCGAAAAGCAGATTAATTTTAAGAAGCTAGACGAACAGTTGGCTTTCTTGGGCTCGATGGCCAAGCTGGTTGCCGAGATCAATCTTAAGCAGAAGGAGCTCGACAAGAAGAACCAAGATCTCCATCGCGTACGCAGTCGTCATGCAGAAAATTTTGTAAAATTCTTCAAGGAACCTATTACGAGCAATTATCGAAGATCAGTGCAGGGTGTCTATGATAAACTTCGTCGCGATATACAGGATCTGAACGAGAAGGCCAATTCGCAGAAGCTGAAGGAACAGTCGCACGAGATTAAGCGTAAGAACCTTATTGGTGAGATTTCGCGCATGGAAAAGGAGCTCAAGGAGAGCGAGGAGTTGATTTTTCAAAAGTGTAGGTCAACTCCTTACGATGATTTGCTAGAGCGAAGCAAAACTGCCATTTCCAAGCTGCAGTTTGACCATGGAGCCCTTAAATCATCAGAGGCCCTTTACAAGAAGTAAGTTTGAAAAAAAGCGAGCATCTTACTTTATTAAACTTGAATACCTGTTTTTACTTAGATACATACAGAAAATTAAGGAAGAGCCATGTTGCCCTTTGTGCCATAACAATATATCTAGTGATGGGGCCCTTGATTTGACCAACGAACTAACCGATGAGATCGAAAAGTTGCCCGATAATATATCTAGAGCAGAAAAAGCCCTTAAAGCAGAGCAAATCAAGTATGAGAATTTACTGCAGATCAAACCTAACATTCTTAAGGTCAAGGATCTGAAGGAATCCTTGCCTGAGAAAAAGGATGAGCTGAAAAAAGTTGAGCAGTTGCTAGGTGAGAGCGTCAGCGAGTATGAAACATTGATTGCTTTGATTGGCGAGCCCACACAGAATTTGGAGTTGGCGAACTCCATGATGGGTGATATGAGCCTTTTAGATGAGGCTTTAAAAGACTCGGTGCGGCTTACAAAAGATCTGGATCAGCAAAAGGTATCGAGTGTCCATATTATGTGGCTTGGTTAAGCATTAATTAAAAATTTGATTTAGGCAAAGTTACCCAGTTCCTATGACTCGAGTGTATCAATGGATGATCTGCAGGCAGAGAAGAATCAGGTCTTGAAGGAATTGGATGCGGAACGCAAGGAGTTAGACTCCACGCAGACTTCTTTTCAACAACAAATGGATGCTATTAATCGTTTGCGCGAAAAGAAAAACAGGTAGTAAAATTCACCTTAAAAATTGCTCCAAAATCACTTATTTTGCTTCTTTTTAGCTTGAAAGATAGACAAATTCATCTCCAGCAGGGCCTGCAAAGCTTGCCCCAGTTGAAGGAGCGTTTTGAAAAACTAAAAACTTTTTTAAGCACAGTGGCTACTGAAATAACTGAACTGAAGGCCAAAATTGAACCCCTAAAGCAAAATCTCAGGAAAGCCATAGAAGAAAAAGAACGGCTAAAAGCGAGCGACAGAGCTCAGGTAGATCAGTTGAATTCCAAATACAGTTCTTATAAAAGTACAGATCAGGATATACAAAGGTAAGTAGAATAAAGTCACTGACCTTGCTTACTTGCACTTTCACATTCTATTTAGATTGAATAAAGAAGCTCTAGACTATGCCAAAATGGACCTCCAAAATGAAATCAAGAAACTCGATGATATTATAAAGGCTACTAAAGATCAGCTAAGAAAACTGGTAAGATCTAAGATGCACTCCATTAAAATATGAGCTATATAGATATTCTTTTCTTAGGAAATCCAAATCTCTTTGAAAAGTGATGAATTGGAGACTATTAAAACCGAGTGCCTTAATGAGCAGACCGTGGAACGAGATTTAAAAGATAATCGTGAGCTAAAACAGTTACAGGAAAAAGAATCCAAGCTTAGAGAAAGCTGTCAGGCACTAGACAAGCAGCTTTGTAACTTGGACTTCTACAGCGTCACCAAGGAGAAAACAGAGCTGACAAAGAGAAGGGATAAGGCCACAGTGCGTAAGGGTGAGCTGCTGGGTCAGCTAGGCGAAATAAACAATCAGGTGAACAAATTGAAGCGAGAAATCGATGAGCCCAGATTTAAGGAGTCCCTTAAAAACTTTCGGAAGGCCAACTATGAGCAGATGGTAACGCGTCTCAGCATAGAGGATTTGGGCCAACATCGTTTGGCTTTAGAATGGGCTCTGATACAGTTCCATGCTGAAAAGATGGAAAAGATTAATCGACTAATACGAGAGTACTGGCGCATGATATATCGTGGCAATGATATTGACTATATCCAGGTGAAGACGGACGAGATCAGCACGGATGCTTCAGCGGATCGCCGCAAGACTTACAACTACAGAGTAGTCCAGTCGAAGAACAACACCGAGATCGAGATGCGGGGACGCTGCAGTGCTGGTCAGCGTGTCCTGGCCTCCCTCATTATTCGCTTGGCACTGGCCGAGACGTTCAGCAGTAATTGCGGTGTCTTGGCCCTAGACGAACCAACTACGAATTTGGATCGTGTTAATATAACATCCCTGTGTGATGCACTAAACTGCATTGTTGAGGAGCGCCAGAGTCAGTCAAATTTCATGCTTATCATCATAACACACGACGAAAACTTCATCTCGTCGCTGGGCAAGATAACCAGCTATCATCGGGTCTTTCGCAACGATGATTGCAAATCGGTTATACGAAAAGTTCAGGTTGACTAAGTGGTCGGTCTATCAAAGAAAGTTTTAATACATCAATAAAAAGTGTCACTTTTGTTATCGACCTATGTATGTTTGCTGGTCTAGTCATCAAATCAATTAGAGGAAAAGGCAAATGACAAGGGAGTTTCTAAAAATGATTGGTCTAGTCTTTAGAGATGTCCAACCTGTGTGGACTATGGCTGCTGGCACTTTCGTTGTTTGTGGAAGTCATTTCCTACTCTATACAATTTGGCATTATGCACTCCCTAGCCGTTCCTGTTTATGAAATTGAAGTGTACTCCAGTGAATCGCATGATTATATAGATGTGAAGTACAAGCAAAAGGTATTTAAAATGAAATTGATTCTATGTACATTTTCTTAGGTATCTCTATACAGGCTAGCTTGTATTTCAATATAAACGTAATTTTTGTAATCGATGAAAATGAAATGGAATGGAAAGGCCAGGCATCAATTCTCACTGGCGGAATTGGTTACAACTTCACCACCGTACGATTAACGTATGTGCAGCCAGAAGTGTCAAAAGTCACAGTGCTTATCTACGGGCTTCCCAGGTAGGAACTACAGATGGCACATTATATCATTTAAAAACTAATCAGACTCTGTCTTTTCGTGAGAACTAGAGGGACTCCAGTGATATCCGTCATCGGGTAGATCGCTGCGAATTAGTGGTGACAGCCACGCTATATGCATGCGGTCTCCAAAAACACTTCTCAGATTCTGGCGTACTCCTTTGTCGTACCGTCGCTTGCTCTCCTGAGTGCGATCGGCAGAAACTCCTCCCCTTAAAACGATGGGCACATGGTAACCCAAGAGCAAGACACCGTAGGCCAGGGCCAGAACATTTAAGCTGTAGAACAGTAGGTACATGTTGCTCCAAAACCCTCCCGTCACTAAGAGCAACATGGGGCAGGCTAGCTTGAGGAGAGTCAGCCAGTTGCTGTAGATGTGGCCCTGGATGATCCACATGTATATGGAGTTGTAAACTAGGGCATAAACGGATCCCACGAACAGATAGAAAATGAAGCCCATGAAGAAGCGATGGTTCTTGAGCCCAATGCAGCAGCCGGTATAGATGCAGTGGTGATCCCGCTTTAGTATGCAAACCTTGCAGATTTTGCAGTGCCATGATCTGGGTGGAGCAGGTCTCTGGCACTCGGTGCATTCCCGCCAACTTTTGTCATCCGGCTCTGGCCCCACCTTTTTTGCTAGAAAATATTAATGTATTGTTATTGGCCAAATTTCAAATGAGATCTATTACCTACCATCCACACTAGTATTGATCATCATGCAGGCAATCATATTTCCCTTAATATTAAACACCAGAAACATGGCCATCAGGAATGTGAAAGTATGAAAGAATCCACCGGGTTCATGAAAGGCAGGCAGCACCACCGCGATCTCGAATAGGAACACTACCGGCAAAAAGATTCCAATTATCAGGTAGCACAAGACATCTACTAGCCGGCGGGGCAGGGGATTGCTACGGATTCTCATTCTGCGACTAAAGTAAACAAAGTCCGATCGTCGAGATGCCCAAAAGAGAAATAACTTTCTAGCTTCGCTGTGTCATCACGTGCGGCGGAGCTTTATTTAATCAAGCTTTGGGAGAAAAAAGCTAATTCACCGCCCTCAAAAAGCTTAAAAAACTTAAGTTTTTGCGGCGAAAAGTTTACGTTAGAATTTGATGAACTCCAAAGCTAACCGAATTAAAGTTTGATATGAAGCGCACGAGAGCGTGAAACTGTGGTAATGCACTTATCTTATCAAACGGGCCACACGTCGTATGCTCGATGGCATGCAATATGCATACATATATACAAGCTATATACATAAATGCCAATGGCAAAGCCCAAATTGGAGAATTTGATTAACTCGAAAGGCTGCACTCTGTCACAAATCACTGTAATCAAGGTAAAGCCTTAATTACATGGGTCTTTAATACGAGTACTGACATCTGATTGATTGCGATATCAAGTATTTATGGCGGTGTCAAGGAGCATTAAGTAAACAGTTGAAAATGGAATTGTCCGCGTCAACCAGACCGATAAGGCAGGGATCCTCGGTGTTTTTGCTCAAGAGCTTGGTCAGAAGTCTGCGGCAATTCCTCAACCAGACTAGCTTGCATGGCCTGAAATTTGTGGGCGATTCCAGTCTCAGCAGTTGGGAAAGGTAGTAACCCGCCGTAGTTATGAACAATTATTAAATTATTTCCAATTTTAGATCATTTTTCTTTGGCTCCTTTGTAATTGCCCTCATAATCACAGTCCACCTTATATCGAACATTTATGTCAAGTGGGATAGCACTCCGGTAATAATTGGCATCAGCCCACATGCCACCTCTATTCTGAAGGTACCCTTTCCGGCCATAACCATTTGCAATATGAACCAAGTCCAAAAGAGTCAAGTGGCCGCTTATAGGGAGTGAGTTCTATCTCTAAATATCAATCCATCATGCTTAACACATATTATTTATCCCAGGGGCTCCGACGAGAGTGCCCTCTTGCAGCTCTTGTGTGACTCGGATAGCTGGCAATCCAATAAGTTTGACGAGGAGCTTGCCGCTTCAAACTTCGACAGGAATAACTTAAGGATATCCGACTTTGTCTCAAACCATTCCCAGTCCTGCGAGAGAATGTTGCTCTTCTGTAGATTTAGTGCGGTGGAGCGAAACTGTTCGCATTTGTTTCAGCAGATCCTGACGGACGAGGGCCTGTGCTGCGTCTTTAATTTTCAGCCGCCGGAACATCTATACAAGCCTTAGTAAGTACATGACTTGAGATCTAGAATATTTATTTCGTGACTTTAAAATATTATTTTGTTTTATTTAATAGCTCAAATAACCGTCGGAATTTGACCAGTGCAGATGGGTTTGAAACTGTTAAGTGGGACCCGGAGACAGGATATCCTGAAAAACTGCCTCCCAAATATCATCCAGCGCCCTCAAGTGGTAAGATATCAGCTAATGGAATTTCAGGAAAGCCAGTTAGACCGTCATTGATTTTAGGAACTGGCATAACTTTGGGATTTACTGCTGTGCTAAATGCTGAAATGAGCGAATACTACTGCTCCTCAACAAATGGACCAGGTTTTAAGGTTTGCTTATATAGAGAAGTAATGTGAAATGATAATCGCAAATATCTTTCGATCTTTTGATATATAGGTTTATTTCCACAATCCCATCGAGGTGCCCATGGTAAAAGAGGCGGGCCTGATCACAGCCATTGGCTACGAGACCAATTACCGGATCGAGATGGTTAGAGCCGAGGCGGTGCCGGCAATTCGTTCTATATCTCGCGACGGCCGACAGTGCCTGTTTAATGACGAGAAGGAGTTGATCTTCTATAGAATTTACACGCGGCTCAACTGCGAAAATGAATGTTTGGCTGCCTACCTTTACGAGTCGTGCTCCTGCATCCCATTCGATTATCCACAAATCTACAGCAACGCCAGCACCTGCACTATGAGAGACACCTTCTGTGTGCGACGGGCCCAAAGGGAGGCCGTTCGTCCGGGTTGGGTCAAGTGCCGGAAACAGTGCCTGCCCAGCTGCTTTGATCTGAACTATTTGGCCAGTGGCTTCGCCTTCCCGCTGGCTACCAACAACTTTCAGCTGGCCAACGCGCTGGTGGAGAGCATGAACAAGTCCTATCTCAGCGAGAATATAGCCGTGATTAATGTCTACTTTAGAGAGTCGGTCTACTACGGAAACACCAAGAATGCCTACGTGGGATTGACTGAGTTTCTGTGTGAGTAAATAACGTAGAAACTCAAAATCCTATTCTTTCTGATTTTCCTTTCTGATTCCAGCCAATGTCGGTGGTGTAATGGGCCTTTTTATGGGTTTCAGCGTTATCTCCCTGGCGGAGATTCTCTACTTTCTAATCTTGAGACCTATTTCGGAACTTTTCGTTTGGAAGAGGTCATCCCGTGTAGACTCGGAAAACAGTCTAAAACACAACGCCTTCGCCATTGAACAAGCCAAGGATTCAGATAAACCCATTTCATGGCTTACCAGAGAACTATATCCCAAAGGTGTAAAACTGAGATCATTCGAAAGGGGTGGTAGAATAAAGGGCACTAAAACTATGGACAATTCCTCAAACCATTAAAGTTCACAGACCAGAAATTGCTTTTATGTAACAATGTACGAGAATACACATGTAATGGCCACGTCATGCATAGCATTGCGTGACCAGTAATAAAATAAAAGGGGAAAACATTATGACTAAGAGGAAGGTTATGGTTTTTCCTTTTGGATTTTTCATACAAGCAAATACAAAAAGTGAAATATAATAGAATAATTGATTTAAGCCATGAACTGAAAGCGATGCATGTTTAAATAACTCATAAAATATTAAACAATCTGTAATAAATGCTCACTTAGCCTTGGTAAAAAGGGTTAAAGTTATTGTTTAAAAGATTAATTTAAAATATAAATCGGGCGATAGGTGATTTAAGTAACTAGCTGGATGAATACCGATAACTGTGTAATCAAAACCAGAACAAGTTACAGTTAACCTGACTTAACTTGAACTTATATTTAAAAGTGTTTACCTAGTATGTGATTTTCTCTTCACAGACTTTTTTCCAACCTATACAAGTTATTCTCTTATAAAATGCCTAATTTTAAAATGATTAAAATAACATACTTAAACATTAAACAGATCTTAAGCTTATTCATAGGCCAAAGCAAGTCAGCAAACGTATGAGTTAGTTATCGTGCGGTGTTAATTGCCCTATTAAATTCGTAGAGAAAGGTAACCTTTTTGGCTATGTTAAGTGTTCTTAAAGTGGAAAGTTTAATATGTACATATACATGCGTATACGCCTAGGAACTCCTTCACCTTCACTGCCTCATCTTCTACGTTTCCCCTGTGATTGGGCCAAAGGAACTCCAGCAGCTGGAACAGATGTGCCCGAAATGAAGGTCGGTAATAGAATACCCTAGCGACTAATGCAATTAACCAAGTTTTCCGGTTAAAGGGCCAGGACTTAACTTTAGTTTTTGCGTACTCTTCCTAGCCTATTTATGCGATATATTTTATGTCAATAAGAGCATTTTGGCCAAAATTACTTTTGGCCAGGGCGGCTGGCAGTCCGTGCTTAAATACAAGTAGGAGTATATACACATTGTATGTTTTCTGGCAGTAAAACAAGAATAGCTCTTGGCCCACCCTCGTCCTCGGCTTTTGAAGATGGCACATTTTTGCGTCGTCTTGCACTTCTGGCGGAAATTCCTTTGCCCGGTACATGCTCCGGTTTCTGAGCGTTAATTGCTGACCTCAACCTGCACATAAAGCGACTAATTTTCGCACAGCATTCGTCCTCGCAGTGCTCGTCCTGCATAACTGCATGAATTCTGCGGCATAGTTCCATCCGCGCGCCATCTGTGTAGGATTTCTTAAACAGCCCGGAGCAGGCTGGCGAAACAAAATCTGGGGTTGGGAATGGTGGAAAGATGCTGCCTAAGCAGGAGCAGCAAAAATGGAATGAAATGCATTCGCACAGTTGAAGACAATTTGCGAAATTGCATCGCTCTTGATGTTTTCACGTGCATTCCATCTGGTGTTTTTACGGCAAGTCAACAATGTGCTGTCGGTCCAGTACAGTGCGCGCCATGGCCATAGGACCTTGGCATTCGTTTAAGGAGAATGAAGTAATAAAAAGTTAAAAATAGTCTTAAATCCAATTGAATTTGCTTATCAAATAAAAGTTGTTTGCCTTCTGAACCGTTGTTTATCTGTGTCAGCTTATGAGATTATCTTTTGCCAACATTTATTTGCTTACAAATGTCCGACAATTTCGGAATGCGCTGTAGGGCGGATGTGGGGGCAATCGGGGATTGGGATTGGGGTTGCCATCTAAAACCGAGTACAAAAAGCTTTGCTCTCGACCATCTTTCAAGCGATAAGACAACTGGTGCAAATGATTACGACGTGTTCCCTCGCACACTGTATATCCTAGTTGGGGTTAGTAGATCCCAAAGAGGCGGTCCTTGGCCGGAGATGTAACAGGACAACCCCGGGCAGGAGCTTCGTAAATGTCAAGAGCAGGACTAGATTCAATTCTTTATGGCCGTGTTAACGAGCCAATTCTCCCCTGGATGCTAGAGAACTTTGGCACTGAATGAAAAATTATGCCATTAAAACGTTGAAACCGAACCACAAATAATCCTTAAAGCCATCACGGGTTAGTTTTGGTGGCAAAAGGTGGGCCAAACTGAGAACGCCAGGAAGCAGCCTCTGCACACGAGTAATTAACAGCAAATTTTCTGCCAAAGTTATTAAGTTGACAATAAAGTTTTCCCACTAACTCTATCTTTCCTTGAGACGCAGCCACCTGATTAAGGTATAAATATTTGATTCTAGTGTGGGGCATGGGTATGGGCTGTAGGGTTGAAGGGATGAAGGGGTTCCTAAAAGTACGACATCTCCCAAGCATTGTCAACTTTATGGGCATCCGCTTCCTGTCGCACCCGGCTCAGTTATGCATGAAGTGTATTCGTCAAAATGTAGTCTTGAATTCGTCTGCGTAAATGCTGCACGTGCGCCAAGTTGCCAGGAGTTGATGAGGATGAATCGGTGGCTATACTGTCTCTATACCAAATAGCTGCAAGCTGGGGAAACAATTCGATCGAATGCCGAGGAAGCTCTGCAAAATTACACACATACCCCACACAGGGTGAGAGAGAGAGAGAGTAAGAGAGAAGTTGCATGCGGAAAAGCAATTAAAACTTCTTGTCAGTGTCTCGGAAGTGTTTGTTCATATTTTATGATGTTTTCGTGTAGAAAGCTGGATTATGAATGTGTCACCAAGAAGTGTTGTCGCTGCTGATTCTCTCCCCACTCTGTGTCCTTTTCTGTGCATGCAACAAGCCGTCATTGAGGTTGAAAGAGTAATGTATAAAATATCACACATCCGCCCCATTGGACGTACGACGGACAGCAGACTATAGAAGACTGAAGGCCAGACTATGGCAACTTCATAGGAAAACGGAAATTGTAAACAAAACTTGAAACTTTCGAGCTGACCTTTATATTCGGACGTATTTGATTGCATAATTTATGGCATGTTAAATTGGGTCTTCGAATGGAATATGGCATTTGGAAAGCAAGGCTTTTCCCCCGTAACGCTTAAGTGCATCGATATGTTCTCAAAGCATTTTGACGTTTGGCACTTTGAAAGCCACATTTGCCGCCGCAATATGCAACGTTCAACGTGCAACGTTGAGCAAGTAAGTCTGTTATAATATTTCGGCTAATGGAACCCTCCAGCAATAGCTGCTGCATCCATAATGGCAATCACCTATGTGTATCCCATATCACACTGCTCATATTTGACGGTCTGCCGGCGGCGTTGCTAAAAACTCGTTGCAAATATGCAAATTTCAGTGCTCCTCGTGCAGCGACCGCCCCTGCACCAGTCCACCAGTTCACCTGCCTAATGCACCAAAATGCATTTGAAATTGGGTAATTTTACACATGCAGCGCCACAGGCGACAGTCTGGGCTTAAAAATGCATTTTGGCTTTTGGATTGGACAGATAGAATTCATGGCAGCAAACAGTGAGCTGTGGGTGCTGAATGTTTGAGTGGGAGTGAGGGATAAGCCCGACAGGCTGAATAATCAGGACCATCAATCAGGACTCCGAGCCCTGCACACCTCATTAGGCTAATCGTACAATTGCGCACGGCCGGACACACACAAAAACATGGGCTAAGGCTGGGGATCTATGTAGAACCCAAGGGGTTGGACCGGAGAGTGGGATGTGGGTTTAACCGCACCGCAATTTGCCCTCATGCGCTAAACAATATTTCATTTTTAAGAGTTGACTTTTCACGCTTGCCGACAGGAGGCTTAACATTTTAAATCCATTGTTTCGCCGCCACAAGGACTTTTCAACTTTGTCTCTTATTTTATTAATGTGCAAGTATGGCTTTGTGAATATTTAATAGGCGGCACGAGCCAACATATCTATATGTACTCTTTAATTATATTCAAAAATATGAAAAGTGAACTCACTTCGGAAAACACTGAAATCACTTCCTGAAAACAGACGGCAAAGCGTTTGTTATTCAAGTGTTTTGTTTTGAATGCAAAGTGTTCCCAGTGTTTGCGGTGCTAACCAGTGCGCAGAATCCCCGGAAAGGGGGACAGCATCCACAGTTAAACCAACATCAGCTTCAGTCCTCCACAGATGGTCGGGAAAAGCGGTTGAGCTGCGGCCCTCTTTTCGGGGGCGAAAAGCTTTAGAACCGAATCGAAATCAACGAAAATTTGATAAATGAAATTAGGTCTAATGTTGTCATACAAAATGACATTGCAACAATGCAATTGAATTATTTATTTCGACTTTTCGTTCACACATATTACTTATACGCCATGTTGTCCACTGTGAAAAGATGGCTTTTCATTTTCTCACACAATTGGCTTTAATTGATCTATGAATTTCGGTTTAATAAGCATTTTGTCTCTAATATATGAAATGAAACACAGACAAAAACTATTAAAAGTCCAATAAATTTGTCTTTTGATACTTTTTTATCAAATATCTTCCGAGATTATTTTACTTTTTTCCTATAAAGGACGAAACCTACTTTTCCGTCTCGATAAAAAATAAATGAGATGCATAAAGTGTAAGGACAATAAAGAATTTTTTGCTGAGTGCAGCTGTTATTAAACCAAAACATAAATTGTCAGTGGAATTGCAATAAAACTCGTTGGCCTGTCAAATGTGTGTGACAGTGCGCAAATTGATAAATTTTCAATTTATTTAATAACCGAATTGATGAACTTGGCCCACACGACACAAGGCCATCTAATATGCATATAATTTTTGCATTCATTTTGAATTTGATCCAACTAAAAGCTAATTAAACGACAGCGCAGAGCAAATAAAACTGAGCTGCGAATAAATCGTTGGCCATTCATTTTCCCGTCTCCTGCTTTGTTCTCTCTGTTCTGATTGTCCTGTTTGCTGGGAAAAGTCAATGCGATCGGCGGGAGGAATGAGAAGCGCAGCTTTTCCTAATCTCCTGGCTTTATCCTGCGTAATAATAACTACTTTCAGGGGCTTTTCTTTAAGGACTTAGGGCTTGCTATCTCGGCCCGCTTTGTTCTTTCTTCTTTAAGTGTTCTCAGCTTTTTTTCTCTGTTTCCTTTGCGTGACAGCTCATGTCTTGTTTATCTAAATCATCCGACTGTGTAAATGCCAGGCCTGTCTTC